CTACTGTAACACGCTCTACGTGGGGCTTCCTTTGAAGCTGATGCGGAAACTTCAAGTGGTGCAGAATGTGGCGGCCAGACTCCTTACTGGAGTGAGAAAATACCAACATATCTCTCCTACTCTGGCCATGCTGCACTGGCTGCCCATCCGTTTCCGCATTGACTTCAAAGAATGCTTATGTATAAAGCCCTAAATAGTTTAGGACCTCGATACTTGGCGGAATGCTTACTCCCAACTAGTGCTACCCGTGTCACCCGCCGAGGAGCCTGACGCTGAGGGAGGCCCGGAAGGAAAGAACTAAAAACTGGGCCTTCTCAGCGGTGGCTCCTCACCTCTGGAATAACCTACCTCTGGAGATTCACGCTGCACCCTTGCTGGGTACTTTTAAGAATCAACTAAAAACGTGGATGTATAGGCAGGCCTTCCCTTCCAGTTAATTCCTGTCCTCTTTCCTTTTTTATTCTTTTTCTCTTTATTTGATTTATGTTGCATTTTTCCCATCGCAGAATCATTTAATTAATTAATTGTTATAAATTTTTCTTGAACTTGTTATTCTTTATGGTGTAAGCCACCTAGAGTGGTCAAAATGACTAGATAGGCGGGGTATAAATACAATAAAATAAATAAATAAATAAATAAATCTATGGGTGTAAATACAACCATCACAATGGAGCTAATTTAACTTCCGATTTTGCTTTTAAGAATATAGTGAACACTTGACTACTCATTCACCATTTTTATGTTTCAAATATTTCCTGCTGAAACTGCATTTTTTATAAAAATCAGTGTTTTGATGCAATTTTTCCCTTTGCAGAAAAGAATCATCACTGCCCTATTATTTATTTGCAATTTCTACCTGGAATATTTTCCATATACATGATCAATTACCATAAAAAGGAAGAGGTTAAAAAAATTAAATTCCTTACCGTAGTGACATCCAAAGGCAATATAAAGACCATGAGAAAACAAAGATGCCAAGCTAGTAGTGTTGCTACAATCACAAGTTTGTGCTGTTTTCTGAAGTCTCCATATCGATGTAGAATGATTAATGCCAGGAAAAAGACAACTACTATCTCAATGCCCAAAGCTGCACCACTCATTATTGTCCGTTAACTTCAACCAGGATGTAGAGCCCATTTATAAAAATGCCATAGCTACAAGAAAGAATAATTCAGTTATAATACACATATTGATTATAATTCTGTGAGCATTTCTAAGTACAAGTTTATTCCCACTAACAGCTAGCTACCTCTCGTCTGTCTTTTATCAGCACACTGTGACCAGGATCCAAAGAATAATGTTTTCTGTGAATGCTGCAACGGTCAACTGCTGCAGGACTGCAATGAAACATGGAAAGGATCAGAATGCCACTGGCAGATTATTATTATTTTTTTTAAGTGCTTTTTTTGACCAAAAGACAATCCGGTGTAGCACTAGGATAGAATAACAGAGAGGAAAAGAATTAAATAAAATATAGGTTTCCACACACACACACACACACACACCACCACACACACACACACAGATCCTCCGTCACACAGCTAATCACATTTGAAACTGAAAACATGCAAAAGCAGCACACATGTCTGCTATTCATGCTTTTATAATTTTTTAAAGCCTCACTTCAACTTATTTCTCTTGATCCTGTACTATTATACTTCATTTTCTTGCCATTTCCCACAGAAAAACACAGTGTTCTAAGATGCAACTTTGTACTCCAACCATGACATGTAATACATGTTCAAGTGCTTAGGGTTCTAGACACACACACACAAAACGCTACATGAGTCTTATTTTATAACACCACTCTAAGGAGACAAACAAGGAAATTGTGTTAAAAAGTGATCTCCATCAATTACTGGGAAATTAAAATGTTGAGTATCTAGCCTGGTACTTGTTTTTCCTGGAAAAGAGGTCCTTTGGCTCCCTTTCCAATGCAATTTTAATCAAGAATAAAGAGAAATGTCTCTCCCACCCCCCAGCAGATCTTTGGCTTATCAAATATGAGTTTCTGTTCTTGATTAACAGTTCTGTGTTTATTTTTAGTTTTTTATATTTTCCTTTGTAGCTTTTTATATTTTACTGAATTTAGTTTGGGTTTTCTTATGTTTGATGATGATGATTCATACCCTGTTGTGTGCCACACCTTGAGGCAGAAGAGCAGTATAAAAAGAGTTTCACAAATAAGTCACAGGTTGCTTGACACAGAGGTAAATTCATCCATGGTATTCCCACTTGCCAGAATCTATTAAGCCATTATGTACTGACTGACAATTGCAGTTTTTTTTTATTTTATTTTATTTATATCCCACCTATCTGGTCGGTTAAGACCACTATAGGTGGCTAACAGCATAAAATAGCATAAAAAATTAAAATAGAAGAAACCTTAGGAGAGGGAGGAAACAATAGGAAAAGGAGAGGAGAGGGCATCAGGAATTGTCTGGAGGGAAGGCCTGCCAAAACATCCATGTTTTTAGTAGATTTTTAAAGATACCCAGTGAGGGTGCCACGCGAATCTCAGGAGGGAGGTTGTTCCAAAGGCGAGGAGCCACCGCCGAGAAGGCCCGATTTCTTGTCTTTACCTTCCGGGCCTCCCTCGGCGTTAGGCTCCTCAGCCTCACCTCCTGGCTCGCACGAGTGACATGGGTAGATCTTGGTGGGAGTAGGCGTTCCACCAAATATCGAGGCCCTAAACCGTTTAGGGCTTTGTATGTAAGCATCAGCACTTTGAAGTCGATGTGGAACCGGATGGGCAGCCAATGCAATGCAGACAGAGTGGGTGAGATATATTGGTATTTTTTCACTCCACTAAGTAGTCTGGCTGCCACATTCTGCACCACCTGTAGTTTCCGCAGCAGCCTCAAAGGCAGCTCCACGTAGAGCGCATTACAGTGGTCTAATCTTGAGATTACGAGCGCATGCACCAAGGTAGTGAGCGCCCCAACATCAAGGTAGGACCGCAGCTGGGCTATTCGCCTAAGGTGAAAAAAGGCGGAGCGGACCACGGATGCCACCTGAGATTCCATAGTGAGCGCCGGGTCCAGATGGATCCCCAAGCTGCGGACCCCATCTTTGGTGGGCAGAGTCATCCCCCCAAAAGAGAGGGAGTTTCCCAAATCCCCAACTGTGGGGGCGCCCACCCTCAGTACCTCCGTCTTGTCCGGGTTCAGCCTCAGCCCGTTCTCCTGCATCCATTGCAGTACAGTCCCCAGGCAGCGCTGAAGGGACAGAACGGCATCTCCTGCAGTTGGTGAAAAGGAGATGTAGAGCTGAGTGTCATCGGCATACTGATGTCACAAGGCTCCACAACCCCTGATGACCCCACCCAGCAGCCTCATGTAGATGTTGAACAGCATTGGGGAGATAATCGACCCCTGTGGAACCCCACAATTGAGACTCCATGGGGCCGAAATACTCTCCCCAAGCTGCACTCTCTGGGGGCGGTCCTCCAAGAAGGAATGGAGCCAGGCCAGTGCCAGGCCAGTTATACAGTATTATAAAGAGATAGTTTATTGTTCACTGAATGGAAATATACAAATCTAATAATATGTGTGTGTATATGTATGTGCGTATTTGCCAGTTTTTACAACAGAGCACAAAGGTGATATGAAAAGACTACCCTTGTCAATTTTCTTTCATCAAAAAAGTATTTAATAATAATTTTAAAGTATGGTTAAATCTCAGTGCTAGCTGTTCAGGTTGAGAAGCTATCAGTCATTAAAAAGCAGCTGGGGGGTGATGGTTCTACAGGTACCTTAGATAAATTATATATCAACAAAGGGAGAGCCTTCTTGGTTGTGGCACCATATTTATGGACTGCTCTCCCCAAGGAGATACATATACTAGTGTCGACATTGCAGCAGTTTGTATTTGCCAAAGCATTTTAAGATTAACAAGACTTTTATCAGCCTTGCTGCTTTCCTTTCTTTTCATATAAGATTTGGGTGTTTCGTTGTCTTAATTAATTGCTGTCTTAATTATATTTGTACACTGTCTTAGTATCCATATGGGCAAAGAATGGTTGAGAAACTTCACAGTAAATAAAGATCTGTTAAATAAGCACTCCATATCTGTAAATTCATTCCCACAGGGGTATTGTGAAAAACAAGCATAACACAGTACAGACATCCATATGGGAACTGTTAAAATTATAGTTTCAGGTTTCACTCCACTCTGGACTTCCAAGACGAGCTGTAAGCAACCATCAGATCAAGATGACAATAAAAAGGAACACATATGCCCATGTCTCCTCTTTCCACACTTGCTTTTTCACCTCTCCCCTGCTGTAAACTCAATAGGTAATGCTTTGTTCTTTCCAGATGAAACAACAACAAAAAAGAGTACAAAAGCTTTAAACAATTTTAAAAAATAAGTTTCCTACCCATTTCTTTCCCTGATTCAAGTTGACCTCTCAGAAAATCCGATTTGGAGTTACATTTTCAGAAGTAGAACACCACTGCCACACATGAACTAGCATCCACTTGTCATCATTTCCCTCCCCACACCTTGTGCCAGAATCATGGTACACTTCTGAGTGGATCATCTCTTCCCTAACATATTCTTTTAAACATACGGCAAGAGAGACCTTTTTATATGGAATGAAGCATTAGAAGAGAAATGAAAACCACACGCCCACGACCGACCCCACCTCGCTGTCCAGGATCTCAAAGGTGACACACAGCCCGGGACCGTTTCCGCCTCGTCACCGAGTCCCACCTCAGAGCAAAGCAAACAACAAGGCGACGTGACGGAATCCTGCCGTGGCAGAAAAGATGCTCCCGCTTCCGGTGTTGAGGAAGGAGGGAGAGAGATATATATGCCATTTTTAAAAGGCCCGTCATCATCAGCTTGTTGAAAGAAGGAAAAAATATGACTAAATCAACGCTTAGTCTTTAAACAGGAAGCAGAGCACACCAGAGGGAAAACAGGGCTCCATCCTACTTTGCTCCCTGCGAGGTTAGGTTTCTTACTTGCAGGGAGTTGCTTTCAATCTATGAGAGAAAACAAGTCACCTCCCGGGACCCATTCAGGCCCCTCTTTCTCGAGCTTTCCTCGGCGGTCCTGAGCTGTGAAGGGGTAAAAGCTGAGGCGAAATGGTGCCGCCGGTTCCTCAGTCCCGGCCTTTTCCCCGCTCTCGCCTGCGCCTCACCGACGGGAACCCCCGCTTACCCTCCGCGTTTCGCCGCCTGCTTCCTCCGTGAGCCCTTTCCCGGCGGCTTTCTCCTTCCTTCTCCTCAGGCAGAGGCCCGGCTGCCCGGCAGCCAACGAAGGAAGCCGGCTGACAGGCAAGCCGCCGGCGCCTTTGGCATTTCCTGAGGGGCCCAAGGGCCGCCCGCCGAAATCCGAGTCACGGCTCGCCTTCGGGCGCGCGAGGAAGTCTGGCCCGAAAGGGGGGGGAGGGGAGCGTTGAAAAAAAAAAGAATAGCCCTCGCGCGATCCTATGCAACACCGAGAAAACACTCAAGCCGTCCTCACGCCGCGGGACTACAACCCCCAGGTAAGCATTGCGAAAGTAAGGCCCCGCCCCCTGCGCGTGCGCGGAAGGGCGGGCCTCCACGCGGCCCCCGGTGCCCGAAGCGACTACAACACCCAGGAGCCCTTGCGAAAAAGTTTTGCTTGGCGCACGTTCTTCTTCTAGTTTAGTGCAAAGGGGGAGAAAGTAAGCGTGCGACCCAACGTATTAGCAGCGCTTTGGGTTAGCATAGTAATTTTACTTGATCGCCAAAAAGGGACAAACGACGTTTGTTGTCCGGTGGTCCGAAACCCTTCCTCGGGCGAAGATGCAATAAGGCGCAGGAAAAACTGCGGAAGCTATGCTCTGTTCGTCGTCGATTTCAACCGCGTATGGTCTGTGGAGCCCAGCCTTGTCCAAAGGGAATGACAGCAGCGGCTCTGCCAGGTTGCAGGCAGGATTCCTGCTTGGACATGCGGAGGCTTTATTTTTTTATTGGCGTTGGTTGCTGTTTTTTGATAGTTGATGCCACGTGGATTTGATTCACTAAGAAGCCTCCAATCCTATGCAAACCCACCTGGGGAAAAATGTCGATGAAACTTCTCAATAGATGTACATACAATGTTCTTGTTTTGAAATTGACTTGTATTATAATTGGTGATCTGAGAACTAAATTCTCAGTCCTTGCAGACCTATGTTGTTATGATGTGCCCTCAAGCTGCTTCCGACTTGTGGCGATCCTATGAATGAGCGCTCTCCGAAATGTCTCGTCCTCAACTGCCCTGCTCAGCTCTTGCAAACTCAAGTCCGTGGCTTCCGTTAGGAAGTCAGTCCATCCCATATTGGATCTTGCTCTTCTCCTCCTGCCTTCCACCTTTCCCAGCATGATTGCGCTTGCCAGAGAATCCTGCCTTCCCGGGATCTGCCCAGAGTGTGACAGGCTTAAATTTTAACCTATGTACGTGGGCTTTGTCCACGAAACTTCACATTAAAAAAGTATAAAACAGTCTTTAAGGTGCAACCACGTTTTGCTTTGTTTTTTTACTTTTTATTTCGACGGAGCATATATTCAGTATGCTTGTGTGGGGTTTATGACGAGGAAAGCGATATTTTGCTAATAATGTTGGTTACTAACGCGCCTTAGGTAAAATTGGGATGTACTATATTCAGTATGCTTGTGTGGGGTTTATGAGGAGGGAAGCGATATTTTGCTAATAATTTATTTATTTAATTTAATGTATATGCCGCCCACACTACCCAAAGGTAATGTTGATTACTAACGCGCCTTCGGTAAAATTGCTGATAACAAAAGAAGGTTCGAAAAGCTTTTACTCCGCAACATCCCTTTCAGTGATCATCCGTTTAGTACCTCCCGGTAAAATTGCTGATAACAAAAGGAGGTTTGAAAAGCTTTTACTCCGCAGGGTACTACAATTCCCAACAGCCATTGCGAGAGGTGGGAGAACGTTAGCCCGGGCGGCTGAGCGCGCGAGCTGAATGTTGCTGGGTTTCCGGAGGTTTTTTTGTGTGTGTTGGAGCTGGTGTTGCAGCAAGGCAAGAGGCGAAGTGTGGGATCTGGAAAAGCGGCGGGATCGGGGGTCCGCAGCTCTCCGTGCATAATCCCCTTGGAGCAACATGCACAGGTAAAGTAGGATGAGTGCTTGCAGACCCGTAGTGTGGGTGCAAAGGCAGAGAAATAATTTTAAGCGTCAGCGGATCCCGCCCAAAGCACACAGTGGGTTGCGCGCGTATTTGCTTCTCTCCGGGTTCTTCCATCCAGTTAAAGGCTGCCGTGGACAAAATCGAGAATAGTCCAGTGAGAAGGTGTAAAAAGCGATGCACACATTCCTGCTGCAAAGAATGTGTGGATTAAAAACATTTCTTTTTCAGATTATTATCATGTATTATACTGATCTAAAGGCTAATCGTGTCGTGAGTAAATAATCCAAAGTGGATGGGCAGAAGGCTACTGAACTTTGCTTAGAGCGCCAATATTTTATGAATATTCATATATGTTGCCACGGGCTATCAAGACGTGAACGTTTCAAAAGTAAGAACCAGGGAAAAGTGCCTTGTTTTTGCATGACATCTCGCAGGACTCTTCAGCTAGTGTGACCACTGGGAAATCAGACATGGCTTTCCAAAAAAATTGCTTTTCTAAGCTTTGTTGGAAGGCAACTAAGGCAGTAGCTGTTCCTAAGGCCTGCTTTTTGTAGAAAAAAAGCTTTCCTTTCAGCCGGATTGAAAACCTGAATGTGGCAACCAGCAATTAGACATTTAAATCATAGCATTAGGAAATGTTTTGTTTGTGCGAAATGATTCAGAAGAAATTATCCCTATTTCTGCCCAATGATAGAACATGTGTCTTAGATATATCATCATCATAATGTGCTGTTAAGACAGTTGTGATTTATGATGAGCCTTTTCAGGATTTTCCAGGTGGAGAATATTGAGAAGCGGTTTACGTTTCCCTTCTTCTGGGGCCACCCTGAGACAGTGCAGTTTGCCCAAGGCCACACAGGCTGGCTCTTCCCCCAGGAGGCACAGTAGGGGGAATCGAACTCCCAACTCGTGGCTCTGCAGCCAGATACCCAAACCACTGAGCTATCCAACCGCATCTCCTTAGATATACCAATGTATTTATATAATCCTGATTATCTTTCTTTAAAGACAGGGTGGTGGCAGTCATACGTACATTCTGAACATCATGTTTGTGGGAGAAATGGGTTCCATTCAGAACTTACCAAATTTACTCTTTGGGAGCAGAAAGGTCTCTGTACAATCAATGTAACTTGAAAAACCAGCTGAATGCCATTCTTACGCTGTAGTCACTACAGAATTTTTGTTTTGGGTGATCAAACTGTTTGGGACCTGATGTAATGTTTTCTCAGATTAAAACACCTATATGTAAGTCTTTTTCTCCATCTCCTCTAAGTCATCTCTTAGCTGTGTGCTGCTTGCTCATACTCTTTCTGTGCAAGAGCATTTCTCCAGAAGGCTGATCGAACCACCTGTACGACAACTTCCTTGTAGGATCTGATTCAGGGCACAGTGTTAGGCATGCAAGAAGAAAGCTTTAGTTGCAAACAGGCCATGGTCCTAGACAGTTTCCACCAGGTTTCTTTGAGTAGACACAGATGTCACGAAGAGTCATGATACTTACTTTTGTATTTGACTGGAAGATCTGACAACCACGGTTGGTAATTGTGGCCACTGGCCTCCAGAATTTTCTGGTGCAGAAAATGACATCTCTCTTTTTAATATTATTTATAATGTCCTTGTACAGAATACATTTGTGGATAGTCTTACATTGGCGTTCCGTCCGTTGCCATGAAGAGCAACCATTGGAAGCTGTGCTATACAAGGAATGCTTTTCTCTTTTCAGGAAACATCTCCAAGAAATTCCAGATTCCGGTAGCAACGTCAACACAGGTTTCGCATGGGGATGGCATTCCAGCAAGACTTCGGAACTGCTCTCAGGCATGGGGGTATCTGTCCTCAAAGATAGGTTAGGCAATGAGAATACTCCCCAAGAGCTGCTGATAAGTGTGAGCCCACCAGCCAAGCGACAAAAAGTGAAGGACACAGAATTTGTGATCGCTCGCCGACCTAGATTGCTCCGAGAGGCAGCAACAGGTAAAGAAAAAGAATATGCAAACATACACGCATTCAACTAATTGGTAATAACAATTAAAATAATAGTAATTTCCTTTTAGTTTTCATAGGGAGCGTTCATGTTAATTGAGGCTAGAGTTGTTTCAACTAGATAACTAAATCGTATATCTAAAGAAACACAGTTTATGTATATTACTTAATTTTGTTTCAGTCACCTTATTGTCATACAGAAAGTTTTTGTGTTCCCTTCTAACTGGAGCCCTTTCTTTTAAGGGCCCACTGTTTCTTTGAGAAAGAAAGAAGGGTGCAGAATTCTTCATAAGTTGCCAACAATGCTAGACTATCTTCCCCTGCTTTTAAGGTTGCAGAAATCTATAAATATTTTGTGCTTTCAAGTCAATTCTAACTTACAGCACCCCTTTTTCAGGGTTTTCCAGATAGACAATACTTGTTCCCTTCTTCTGGAGGTGCCCAGAAACTGCAGCTTGCCCAAGGCCACAGGGCCGGTTTTTGCTTCTGAGAAGCACAGTGGGGAATTTAACTCCCAACCTCTGGCTTCGCAGCCAGATACCTAAACCACAGAAAAATCCAGCCAGCACAGAAACTTTATAACACACTAGAAAATTGGCTTAACTAAACAATGGTTGTTGTGGATAGAGTTCGTTGACCTTTTGCACACTGTATTTTTCAGTGCTGGGAGCCAGGCTTTGTTGAGTTTTAAACTTTCACTGCAGACTAAAACAACCAGAAAAATTGGCAGTAGTTGAACATGCCCTCAAACAAGCTCGACATTAAATTCTATTTCAAAATACTGAAGTACTGGACAACACCAGCAATCATTATGTTAGACTGCACAAGGAAGCCATTAAAATCCACAAACACCAGCAGAGCTTCAACAAAAACAAAGTTTGAAACTCAAAAAGGCCTGGCTCCCAGCACTGAAAAAAACAGCCTGCAAAATTGGTCAATGAACTCTACCCAGCCACAAGGATCAGTGATTACTGCACACAAAAGACCAGCTAACGACACCCATCAACCACAGTGACAGATCATCTCTCCCCCTTATCACAACAATACCTCCACAACAAAAACACGCTGAGCACCATAATAACCCAATCTCCTGAAAAGGATAAAATCCCACAGCTATAAATACTCAACTATCCAAACAAACTGCACCAGAGCACAGAGTTCTGACTCCTGTCCTCTGAACATGGCGGCCACAGAGACTGGCAAAACGTTAGGAAGAAAAACCTTAAGAACACAGCCAAACAGCCTGGAAAACCCACAACAACCATCGGATCCAAGCTGTGAAAGCCTTTGAGAATACATTAACTGTGAGCCTCTTTCTACTTCATGGTTCACCATGGGATGTTCTTCTTTCCATGGACTATTCATTTATTCTGAAAAATTATAAACCAAGAAGTATTTCAAGGCAATGTATTAAGAAGTAGAATCTTTTTAGAAGAATGCTAAAACTGTAGGTGTGCAATTATGGACTAGGGAAAAACTTTGCACATTCTCTTTGCAGTGAGGTTTTCTCTTAAAATGTTTCACCTAATCCAGAAGATACCTCCTAATCCAGTTCCCATTCAACAAACTAAATAAATAAATAAACTGGGGTCCTTCTGGGCAATGGTAAGAACATTCTAATATCTGAATCACTGGATACTGTGTTTCCCTGAAAATAAGACAGGGTCTTATATTAATTTTTGCTCCAAAAACACATTAGGGCTTATTTTCAGAAGATTTTTTTTTCATGTACAACCATCTACAATCATGTCATCTTCTGGTTGCTGCACAATGCTGGAGGGTGGGGTTTCACTTAACTAGGGCTTATTTTGGGGTACAGCTTATGTTTCGAGCATCCCGAAAAATCATACTACGGCTTATTTTCAGGTTAGGGCTTATTTTCGGGAAAATGGGGTAGCACAAGTAGGGAGAAACACTTTTGTATCGTGTTTAGAAAACTGGCTTGCAAGTCAGTAGTACTAACCAACTTTGTGTTGAAGTGACTTGGTTGGTAACGTGGGAACAAGTACAATCCAAATCTTTGCTGGACCAGTGATAGTAGAACTACTGTGTATCTTTAAGAAGGGGGTGGTGAATATACTACCTCTGAAATGTTTCACTTGCTTTTTCAAAATGTCAGGATTTGAACAAACAAACTTTGAAGTCTTTTAAAATAATATTAGGACTTGTGGCACATGTGCATGTTCACACTGAGGCAACATTTAGCAACGCACTGGAGGAGATCATAATAAAATACAGCTTTCTAGTAGCTAAATGTGACATGATAAAAATAATTGGCTAATGAGCGATCAGATCATCTGTTATGAAAGCTCCATTGCTTCTCTGTTTTATTTAAAAGGCAGTCACATGAATACAAATGAATACAAATGACATGCTATCTGTGAAAACTGCATTAAGAGAAATGAACACTATAATTATTTACTTTTACGTATAGTTTAAATTTTTGTAAAACTTCTCCTTTTCCAACCCCTTAGGTATTTCTTGGGATACTTTGCCTGATGAACTGCTGTTAGGAATCTTTTCATACCTATCATTGACTGACCTGCTAAAAATAGCTCAAGTTTGCCGGAGGTGGCACAGACTTTCGTAAGTGGCAACTGATTCCTTTAAATGAAGGACTGTTCTCCTCAGCCCTGTCACCCGATTTCCCTCCATTCTTGGCTCCTCACCTTTCTCGTCTGCCTCACAGAATCTATTCAAAATTACTTTGAAAGCTTCAACTTAATTGAAAACTTCAGATTTTGGAGAAATGATGTTGCTTCATCTTGGATATGAGAGCATCAATATTGGGGCTCTGCTCATCCTCATTACCCCCAGGATTTTCATTTTTACATCATTTGGGGTAATTTACCCGTTCCCTGACCACTGCTTTAAATGAAGGACTGTTCTCCTCAGCCCCGTCACCTGATTTCCCTCCATTCTTGGCTCCTCAACTTTCTCTTCTGCCTCACACTCTTTCCCGCTCTTTTTCTACTCTCACCCCTGTCACCAGATATCCCTCTACTATTGGCTCCTCCCCTTTCTAGCCCTCCTCCTCTTTCCCGCTCTTTTTCTCCTCTACTCTCAGTTGGGCCACTGCTGGTATCAGCATATACACTGTCTTGTATCCCTCCGTTGTGGGTGCTGGAGGGGACGACTCACACTCCTCTTTTCTGTTGAGAAATGGTTCCTCCTCACACGAGTATTACACAAATCAGCGATTTCTGATGAATATCTGTTGTTGTTTTTTTTTAAAAAAATTCATCCCTTTGTCTAGTCCCAACCTCTGGCTCTGCAACCAGGTGCTGCATCTCACTGAGCTTTCCTTTAGCACTGGAATAAAATGTACACAAAATGGTGCCTTAGTTAATAACGGAGCTACTTCATCCTATGCTGGCTGCAGCATCCAGGCCAGCCTTGAGGAGAGACCCATGTTAAAGCACATTAACAGCCATCTAGTCCTGAGCTTACCATCTGAACTGCAAACGCTGTGATGATATTTGTATGAGTGCTCTGCTACTACAGTAGAATTAGACTGTACTAGTCAGTAAGCCTCTTTGGACAAGCCTCTATGTAAACATGTTCAAGTTTTGCAGAATTGAAAACCTGGCCATGTTAACTTGTTACTCCTCAAACCTTTGACTTACTGTACTTGCTAATCAATAAACTGATTTTTTTTTACCATGTTAAAGCACATTAAAAGCCATCTAGTCCTGAGCTTACCATCTGTGAACTGCAAACGCTGTGATGATATTTGTATGAGTGCTCTGCTACTACAGTAGAATTAGACTGCATCCTAAATGCATCTACTAGTCAGTAAGCCTCTTTGGACAAGCCTCTATGTAAACATGTTCAAGTTTCGCAGAATTGAAAACCTGGTCATGTTAACTTGTTATTCCTCAAACCTTTGACTTACTGTATTTGCTAATCAATAAACTGATTTTTAATTTTTTTTTCCAGGTTGGATGAGTCACTTTGGCAGACTCTTGATCTTGCTGGAAAAAATCTGCTACCTGGGGTGATTGGTCAATTGCTGCCATTGGGTATAACAGCCTTCCGTTGTCCCAGGTCCTGCATTGGGGACCCTTTGTTTAAAACAAGCAGGTAACAATGTTCTGAAACAAAAGTGTTTTTTTTAATGTTTCCTCTGTATTTGGACCCTTGCTTATCTTCTGAAGAGTTGCCATCTTTCTTTTTGAAGAAGAATGGCTGGGAATCTTAGGCTGCTCATCAAGATTCGGTATAATCGGTTGGATGTGTTTGTGGAAAACCGGTTTGGCATTAGAGTCCTGTTCAGTTGCAAGGTTTGATACTGGTCTTGCATAACTCTCAATACAAACTACTTATTGTTTTTGAATAAAGCCAGCAATACTATAAAACATGCACCACGCTAGGAGGTGGGAGTGAACTGTTTTAGACCTAAAATAATAAAGATTCCACCATTTCATACTGTAGATGAGTATTAATGATGTCACAATAAAAACAAATGCACTCCTTTTGTTATAAGTAGAAGCTGGCAGAGCAAGGAGCGAACTGAAGGAAAATTTCTATCTCTGTTGTTATGCTTTTTCTCTTGCAGGGAGGTTTTTTAATGTAAGGAAGAATTCATAAATGTAGTGAATATTTATTTGTATTATTTAAATGCCACCTTTATCCCCATAGTTGACCCAAGGCATCTCACAACAGATAAAACAATAGATTTAAAAACACCTTTAAATAGATTTTTAAAAACAATTAAATACATCTTGATATTTAAAAAAAAATAAGTTCAAAAACAATTCAAAAACATTTAGATACCTATAAGTTAAAAAAAAGCGCATTCTTTTGTTACCTTACTGCTTAAAAGCCTGCTTGAAGAGGAAAGTCTTTGCCAGATGACAGAAGGACAAGACTCAAGGGGCCAACTTGGCTTTTTCGGGGCAGTGCATTCCAAAATTTGGGAGCAGCTGCTGAGAAGGCCAACTCCTGTCCTCACCAAACAAGCTTGGGTAGGTGGTGGAACCAAGAGAAACGCCTCCCCAGCAGATCTTAAAAGCCGAGAAGGCCCATATGTGAATATCTAGACATGTGCAAGTTTATAGGGGAAACCCCAAAATGTTCTTCTCCTAACTCCCCCCCCCCGGGAAACCTTATTTTTTATTCTGGAATAAGTGAAAAACTTATGCCCCCCCCCCCCCGGAAACCTTTTTCAGTTTTTCTGGGGACAGGAGAGAAAATCTACAAATATTTTTTATTCTGCAATAAGTGAAAAACTTAGGTTCAATCCACTCAAAGCAGGTAGTCAGGATATTTTTTAAAAATTTCAGATAATTTATAGCATTACGTTTTGATTTTAAAGTTTAATAATGAAAGAGTGGTAATTCCTGTGAAGTAAATACAGTAGTGCCCCGCTGGACGATTACCCCGCTCTACGAGAGAGGGGTCAAGTGTTTTTAAAAAATGTTTTGATTATATTTCCTTCTTCCTTCTCTACTTTTTAGACCTCTTCGAGTGCAACATATGGATTTATCCAATTGTACAATAAAAGTTGCAGATCTCCAAAGTATTCTTAGCAGGTGCCAGAGTCTACAAAACCTCAGCTTAGAAGGGCTAATACTTTCTGATGACATAATTAAGTGAGTGCACTGTATGTATATATTTAAATTATGCCGGATTTAAATTAATGGTTTCTGAATTGGATGCATTTCAAGAATGTAACAGTTAATGGATGCTTTTACAGGGGTGGGCACATTCTTACAGAGCATGATCTGCCCAGCAGTAATAATTCACCATATTGTGGTAACCTTCCATTTAAATGACTGTAACATGTTTAGGCAGGACCATTAATGACTGGATCTTTGGGCAGTCACTTTGGTTACCAAACGTTGGAAGTGACCTGATGTCACATAACATGTTCAATGTGGGTCCGTCTTTTAAAGTGTTTGCAAGACTGTCCTTGTTGCAAAAGAGGACCACAGGACTACTTAAGGTTACATGCCAAGTGGACTGTTTTTTTCTTAATATCATTCAGACCTTTCTTGAGGCTAGAATGCTTAGTATCACTCTGCTGGCGTTCTGTATTAAGCTAGTTTGAGAACATTCTAACTACTGCGAAAGCCCTCCCTTGCCGAAGGCCCAGCAAGAGCAATGTACAGTGGTGCCTTGCTAGACGATTACCTCTCACTTAAGGTTACATGCCAAGTGGACTGTTTTTTTCTTAATATCATTCAGACCTTTCTTGAGGCTAGAATGCTTAGTATCACTCTGCTGGCGTTCTGTATTAAGCTAGTTTGAGAACATTCTAACTACTGCGAAAGCCCTCCCTTGCCGAAGGCCCAGCAAGAGCAATGTACAGTGGTGCCTTGCTAGACGATTACTTCACAAATGGTTTATTTGCAAGGCGATGAGTTTTTGCGATTGCTATAGTGCTTCGCAAAACGGTTTTCCCTATGGGTGATTTTTGCTGGACGATGTTTCGGTCCATGCTTTGCAAGACTTTTTTTGGGGGGGGACCTTTTTGCTGGACAATGTTTCGGTTCGTGCTGTGCAAGACTTTTTTTGGGGGGGGGACCGTTTTTCGCAAGACGATTTTGACAGCTAGGTCCGTGCTTCGCAAAACAGGTGTTTTGGGGACCATTTTTTGCAAGATGGTGATTTTGACAGCTGATCCGCGCTTCGCAAAACGGTTTCTCTATGGGCGATTTTCACAAGACGACGACTATTTTCCCCATTGGAACGCATTAAATGGATTTCAATGCGTTCCAATGGGGAACCGCATTTCGCAAGACGATGTTTTCGCAAACAGTGATTTTTTGCAGAACGAATTAACATCATCTTGCGAGGCACCACTGTACAGCCACATTGGTCTTGTTTATGTCATGGTCATTTTATCACTGGGGTTGGTGTAGAGAGGCTTACAGAGTGACCTGGTAGCTTGATATGGACATGTTCAGACACTGTTCTCTCCCCTTTTCAGAAGTATAGCACAGAACTCCAGCTTCGTGCGACTTAACCTCTCTGGGTGCTCTGGGTTCTCTGCAGAAACTTTGGCAGTGATGTTGAACAGCTGTCCCAGGTAATAAAAGTGCATTCTGCCACAGGAGAAAACAGTGTTAACATTTTAACCATGGCACAAGATGCTCCGGCTAGATTTTTTGGTAGAAACTGAACCACAGTCCAGGGATATCAAGAGAAGTGGAAGCAAATTGATATGCTTCTGTTTTCATTTTCATTTCAGTGTCTAAGCAACTGAGGCATCAAGTTGCTTTTTAATTTTTTAAAAAAGTATTCTGAGTTTTTTCTCAGATTAGAACATAGATGCTTAATGGAATGAAAACAACAACAGCAGTCATGCACTTTGTAAATAGTATTTGTTGGGAATTAAGGATTACTTTGATCTATTTGCTGTATTGATAGTTTCAGTTCTGCTTGCATATGTTACCTAAACTTCATCCATCCTTAATAAGTTTCTAAAGGGAGTATTCAGTTTTTATTAAAACCTGTTGCTTCCTTTATTGGGAAACAGCATTTCTGGCTAAGTCCAAACCCATTTGTTTGTATGCTAAGTGTGATTAGAGTTTTGTGATCTGGAATTCTTGTAACAATGCTGATTGCAGTTTCACTTAACAATAGAGTCCTGTTGGATTAGACTGACAGTTCATCCGTTCCTGCACTGTTTTAACCAGATGCTATGGGGAAGTCATTGAAAAAGATATGGACATTATCATCTCTTCCTGTTGTTCCCTATGGTAGACAGCTGTCTGAAATCTTGGTGTTCAGAGGCTGTTTGGATAGTAGCTTTTATCCCCATGGATTTATCTAATCCCTTTTCACATTAACTGTACTAGTGGCTATCATTGCAGCTTGTGACTATAAATTCACTAAGCACTGAGTGGGCAACTTCCTTTAGACAGTCCTGATCCACACCCACACCATTTTCATTGGTTGGCCCAGTTAGACTGTATCTCTTTTAATCTGTTAAAGTGATGGGTTTGTCTTGTATCTTCTTTTTTTCATATAGCACCGGAAGCAGGGATGGGAACTTCTAGTTCTCCAGATGTTTTTGAATGTACAGTGGTGCCTCGCTTAACGAGCGCACCGTATAACGACGAAATCGCATAGCGATCCGTTTTTTTGGATCGCTAATGCGATCGCTCAACGTCGTTTAGATAGGGCGAAAATCGCTTTACGAAGATCGGTAAGCGTTTCGCTTACCGATCTTTGCAAAACGAAGCCCGACGATCAGCTGTTCGGCGGGCAAAATGGCCGCTGAAAGCTCCGTAATGGCCGCGCGCAGCGTTTTCGCGCCCTCCCCTCACTTAACGAGGGCGCGAAAATGGCTGCCGGCCATAGGAAACCTCGCTGAACGGTGAGTAAAGGAGCCTTTTGGAACGCATTAAACGATGTTTAATGCGTTCCAGTGGCTTTCCCTGTCCCGTTCAGCGATGTTTCGCTATAGCGAAGGTTAATCCGGAACGGATTAACCTCGCTATGCAAGGCACCACTGTATATTATCTCAGCCTATCCCATTGGCTATCCTGGCATGATCTTCTGGGCACTGAGATTCAAAATAGCAGATGGACCAAATGTGTAAAGACTTCAAGTACTTTCTAAATAAGTGCACATTTTGAATGAACATTTTTCTCAATTGTGTACAGGTTGCAAGAGCTGAACTTGGCCTGGTGTGACTTCACAGTTGATCATGTAAAAGCAGCAGTTAACCATATTCCCTCACAGATAAAACAACTAAACTTCAGTGGATACAGACAAAATCTGCTGATGTCAGGTGAGATAGTAGCTTACCATTCTCCCTTTGGAAATAACTATAAAAAACAGAGCTGTTTCATTTAGGATTTAGGGATGCCTCTGTTTTTACCATGAAATTCTATCATAGAAATTTACCATGAATTTTGAACACTTCTTCAGCTATACTTGCCTAAAGTAAGTAATTTATTCTGTGGGCACAAATGATAAGGTATGTGCACATATTGTTTCTGCCTGCAGTGGGTTCTCCACTTCGGGTTTGTTCCATTTCTGCAAATGGATGTTTGTGCATACCTCTTTCACCTAAAGAAAATCAGAAAGAAAAATATACCACCAGATTCATAGGAATGTAGGAAGCTCCCATAGTATTAAGCAAGAGATTCCCGATTGATATAGATTAGTAAGTTTACACTGACAGGCAACAGGTCTCCAGAGTTTGAGAGGAACCTTTCCTAGCCCTAATTAGAAATGCCATGGATTTAATCTGGCTCATGCACACATAAAGCATAGGTGCTACAAATGTGCTATGTGTAAATTGCTTCCAGCAACTTCTGCCTTGTAACCAGGAATATATGGAATCTGATGGTTCATTGTCTGCATGGAAGAAACAGCAACACACAACTTCTGGATGGCATGTAGAGGCCAGCTGAGAAAAATCACTTGCTTCAAACCACTGGCTTTGTAACATAAGTGTTGATGAGGGGTGTATTTTTTGAGTGACTAGACAAATGCGCATCAGGAAGTTCTTGGGGCTTCGAAAAGACATTAAAAATCAAGCAATCCAATCAGAATGCAATTCTAGTGATGCTGTTGGAGGGAGTGGAGAGTCTGCTCTGCTTTTCCAGTATAGTATATACTTTAAACTGAAGCAAACTTTGAAGAAGAAACTTGAGTACAAAGTTCTGTGAAAATAATGTGCTGATTCTATTGGGCTTTTTGTTTCAGATATCAAAACATTACTGGAGAGGTGCAGTAGTGTAATCCATTTAGATTTAAGGTAAGAGTTTAAAAATGTGATCAAGCACTTCTTAACTGATATCTTGTTGAAATACTGTGTTGTCTAAAAATTAACCCCATAGTTAACTTATCACTTGGGACTTTCAGTATTCTGTTGTTGAGAGGAAGCTGAGCATTGATTCTTCCCTTTTAAAAATTATGTGCAAATTACTGCAGATAGTTAAAAACATATCCATTTGAAAGATGCACATATGCTTAGCCAATGGGGGAAATGAGTAACTTAGTTATGCCATCTGGCTTAACGTTCAGTGGCTTCTTGTTGGGAATTAATAAACCTGAGCTTAGATTTTTCAGGAATGTGGTCAGAAATCCAAAAACTTGTTAATTGCAACTGCAATTTAATTCATTTGCCTTCTGCGGTCATAACAAAGCAACAGGATTTTGGCCATTAAAACAAATGCATAAAAATGGATAAAGTGCATAGGGAAACAAACATGCATTTCTGTATGGGGGGAGAGGAGGAATCTCACCCACCCCAAGCTCTATTCTTGATTGTAGGTAGCTCACCTTGTAACACCAACAGGTCTGGGGAGCATTTGGCCCTCTACATGTTTTGAGATTATAGCTTCCATAATCCTTTAACACTGGCCATACTTGCAGTTAAAGTCCCAAAACATCTAAAGAGTATTCAGTAAAACCTGTTGAGGGGCAGGCCAGCCTCTCAAAGCATATAAATCTTCGGGAACAAAGAATCCTTGTTTTGAAGAAAAAGAAATCATTTTACATTCCACATCTATAAAATAGAATCTATAAACAGCCTTGCTTTTTTAGCTAGTTGAAAAGGCTAGGCTTTCTCTCACTGGATAGAATGAGGGAAGCCACTAATGGTGAAAGGGGACAGAAAATAAATGCCAGCTAATTACAGTATGATGTGATGCCATCTTTTGCCGTGATGTATATGTACTGAAGCAAGCAGCAAAAGCATACCCTGCTGCTCAGTTTAAGTAATTGAATTTATAAATTTAAACATGTTTAAATTTATAAATTTAAACATGTTTATAAGTAATCTGGTGAGGATTACATTGTTTTTATTTGGCCTGAAAAGTCATATTTTGACTTTTTAAAAATGTCTTTAAATAAATGTCTTATTTCTGCTTAATTTTGTAATAAAAGTGATATTTTGGTCATTGGCAATCCTCCTGACAAGCCAGCAAACAACATGAGGGAGACAGATAGTCTCGAGGCCGACTCACTTAACCTAATTGGCTGCAGCAGTTAAGGAAAAGATGCACAGTTTCAGTAGGTGAAACAAGTTATGGAAGCAGAAGATATGAAACTAATTTTATTATTGATACTCTGAGGTATAACAAGCCTGATGAAGTATTTCTTTTAATATGTGAAACTCTACAAACAGTGAACAGTTCCACTATTGCTATGCTCTTCATCGATTCTATGAAACTACTTGACCAGATGGTGTAAAAACAGGAAACATCCTCCTCTTTGTAGCAGACACCACTCCACACATGACTAAGGCAGCCATGGGACTTCTTTATCCACGTGCATTGCACATAGTTTATACAGAGTGACTGAAGAGATTTGAAGCAACTATTCCCATGTAGATAATTTCAAATAGGAAAAAAAAATTCATTAAAGCTCCACTTCAAGTACAAAAATTCAATGAAATCACTCCTGCTTTGGCTCTTCTTCCCCATGTTGTGATATGTTGGGGGACTTGGCTGGATCTGGCTATCTATTGCACAAATTATGGTTCCTTGCACTGGATAGCGAAAAGAATTGGACTATTGTGAATCTTGCTCCTTCAAGATTATACAAGATTCCTTTTCTGAAACCTGGCTGGAAGCTTGGAATATATAAAATTTCAATGGATTAACAAGAGCAATCACCCACATTGAAACCGTAGGAATGGAACTTACTGATGCACTAAAAATTGTGAAACAAAATGAGGTGATTTAAAGTGAGCAACGGGTAAAGTGACTGAAAAAAATTAGAGTTAAACTGTAAAGTGTAATCTGGGTTATTCAAATTCGTAAAATAAGTAACATTATAAATGGAAGCAAAAGTTGATAAAATTGAGCCAGAATTTTCTCCAGATGAGTCAGCTTTTTTCGAATATGTTCCTATAACTTCTTTAATGTCAAACAGTTTCTCCAGATACAAGAATGATGACCTCAAGCTGCACATGATCATCTAGTGCAATTCTGCTGTTGACAAAAACTAATTCAGATATGACTATTTTGCCCTCAAAATGTTCATTTGATTTCTTCAGGACTGGAAGTGAAGAATAATTAACCTTTAAATTTTTATATGTATGTATGAACACAGATTTTTAAAAACTGGGTGCTAGAAATTGTAAAGTCATATTTTTGTTTAATTTAAGCAGTTTTAAGGTCATAAATGCTTCCGTATTTCTGACATTTTTAGGTCATAGAAATCTGCACCTTAATGATAAATGTACATGGATAACTAAATTAATTTGAATGCAAAAATCCAGAAATAGATTTCTGCTTTAACCACTGGTTCTTAACCTTTGTTACTCAGATGTTTTTGGACTGCAACTCCCAGAAGCCTTCACCATCAGCTCTGCTGGCTGAGGTTTCTGGGAGTTGCAGTTCAAAAACACCCGAGTAACAAAGGTTAAGAACCATAAGCAAAACTAGATGTGTGGAAATTGAAGTCTAATGGGAACCTGTAAAATGTCATTACAGTGACAGTGTTATGTTGAAGCCCGATTGCTTTCAGTATTTCCACCAGCTCCCTTACCTTGAACATTTGGGTCTTAGTCGATGTTATCAGATATCACCAGCAGCCTTACTGTGAGTAAAATTTTCTTCTAAATTTAATTAAGGGGGGATCATTGTTATCAAGCCTAATGGCACTGTCTTCTGAAAGATAGTGGCTCATGATAGTAAGTGGTGTTTTAAAGGTGTCAAATGATTATACAAACCTCTGACATCACTTACTAAGTCTTCTTTCTTACCCTGTCAGACCTTCTGTTCAACATACAGAGCAAGCACTGTATTCTGTGGAATAAGAATGAATAAGCCTGTAGCTGTTAAATGTATCCAGATGCATTGCATTAAGAAATTAGTGCAGGCATCATTTTTGTTGTGTGGTTCAGCATACAACAGAGAATGTGTGCGGGCCTGGGGCATTTCACCTCCACAAGTTATGCGATTCAAGTCACATTGGCATAACATGGAATTTGGACTTTATTACAACAGTCCTATGAAGTAGGCTAGACAAAGAATTAGTGTTCTGCCATTATACCATACGGCTTGCCTTCAGTGTTTAAACTTCTTCCCCCAATATATCTGTATTGGTGGTGGTGGTGGGGTTTTAAGAAATTACAAGGTTGTTTTAAGGGAACAGTTGGCACTCCCTGACCCAATGGCAACATTCCTAGGTACAGTTCTGCATGCCATCAGTAACGTTTTAGTTGAAAGAGGAAAAATACGCTAACTTGTGCACAATCTCAGTGCTGTCCTTGAGCAATCATAACCACAAACCCTAGAAGCACTATGGGAAAACAATTAGTCTGTTTCCTGTACAGTGTGTGCTGCTCCTCAGTTTGTACTTCAGATGTGAAGAATTGTACTGTCCAGTTTCCAACTCTTCTGTTCACATATGTTTTCTTTCTAGGGAACTTGGTGAAATACCTACACTGAAAACGCTCCAAGTTTTTGGAATAGTAACCACAACGTCACTACAGCTGCTAAAGGCAACACTTCCTCACATAAAGATCAACTCCTCACAATTCACAACTATTGCAAGGCCCACCTTTGGCTGCAAGAAGAACCAGATTTGGGGGATTCAATGTAGATTAAGCTTGAAAAATCCAGTTAGCTTCTAATGTGGCATGAAGACTTTTTCAGCTGCTAGCAACAGCTGTGATGGCACTGCAAAACCTGGACTGTGGAGTTCTTCCAAAGTAGTGTTTTAGCTTCACAAATTGCAGTGAAGTCTACTACTGCTTAAACTGAGATGGTTAACGTATGGACAAGTGGCATCAAGTGCCTTACATCACTTGATTTTTCTACACCAAATGCATTTTTACCGAAATCTATAAAAGGCATGCTAATCATGTATAAATAGTTATTGCTTAAGTGGTATGTCTCCACCCAATTTCTGGAAATGTTATTTAAAGGCATTGTAAGTAATTTTTAGATAATAAAACTACATTTTAATATACTGTTTCACTTGCTTGTAGTTTATCTGTGGTTACACACATACAGCTGTTGGACTGCTGCTGTAATGAGGTTTCATATTTCAACTACAACACTCTACAACAAACGGATATTTCCTTTTTGGGTTGAGATACAACCTTGAGGCAGTTTAGATAATCATACTTTTCTGCTTGTACCAATATCGTCTTACTACAAGAACAACAACTACTGAAGATCTGTCAAGGAAGCGTCTCTTTCCAAAGTCTCCATATGAAGAAAATTCAGATTAATGGCAATTACAGAATGCTCCAAAACTATTTCTTAGCTAAAGATGAAAACTTTCTACCCCAAATTTGGAGCTTTGGTTATTTTAGAAAATAAAAAGGTCCTCCTGACTAAAGTGATGGAAAACATAAAAAGCTACAAATTATTTGGCATATTGTGTAGGATAATACACAACCTGCTTGTTTAAACATGTTTCTAAACTACAGATATTCAATTTCTACTTCTCAATTTTCCCCTAGCCTGCTTAAGGTTCAACAGCAGCTGTTGGATATTGATCGCAAAAGAAAGGGAGGTGAAATATTCCCTATTCCCATCTCAACGGAAATGCAATTCTCCCCCATCCTCCAGTTTATTAAAGTAAATAATAGCCTTCCAAATCCAACTATATTTGCTGGCTGGGAGAGGAAACAACAAAGCTGAGCAGCATTAACAACAGGTACTGTACATAAAAGGCGTTTTAATCTTACTCATTTGTCCCAGTTCAAGCGCTATATCCTATTTTATGTTAAAGGTAGCCTAGTTATACAGGTACTTCTGCCAGAGCACTGGCCAATGGATTATTTAGATACAAAAATCTCATTAGAGTACTACTAATTAGATTTGCATGGCACTGTGTAGGAGCAAGTAAATTTTGATTTAAAAATTAGTTCTGAAAAAGAAGTGCCTGTAAAAGCACTAACTAGATAAATACCAGATATTAACATGAAATACTCTTCAAACCAGCAAGACACAAAATACTTCAAAAACATAAACTCACCTTTATTACACTGAATTACAAACCACGGCATACATTATTTCTTAGTAAATCCAAATTTCAACATCTTTAATAAAATGAATCCAGCTTGAAATATTAGTAAGAACAGTGATATACTGGAATTAAACAATTTTGAGAGGTTTTAATTGCATTACGTTGATTCTTGTGTTTGGAATAATTCCAGTTGTTCTAGCCTACTATATAAATGGCCTTGTGACTTTTAGCCCAAAGCAATCTAGGGAACTCTTTAAATAGAGTAAATTGTCTTTCTATAGGTTGTCTTGCTTTCACAAGTTTATGCTGTTACTAGAGCAAAAATAAATCTTTGGGTGGGAGATCTGCAATTGATCTCTCAGCTCTTGAGGGGATTAAATGCAGCTAGGGAAGAGCAAACAAATCTATTGAAATTATTTAAAGCACCTCTACTCTTCCCAAGCTAAATCCATCCCCATGAGCTCCTGTTCATTCTCTACATAAGCAACAGGATCGTGGTGGTGAAACTGTTGGAAAGGGATAAAGAAAAAATACGTTAAGCAAATCCAGAGCAATTTAGAACCCTAAAGAGAAACAACAGATTATAGGAGTAGAGATGTGACCACCTAGCACTCCAGTCTGCTAGCCAACAAATCTGAAAATAATCTGGATTCTTCAACCAACAATTATTCCCATGTTCTCTTTCTCCAATCCCCATTTCCCAGAGCCATAAAAGACTTACCAGAGGAGGGGAGACAGAGACTTTAAAAGCTCCTGCCCACACAGGAAAGGCTCCATCTCTCCACAGTGTACCAAGCATAAGCTACTGAAGAGAGATCCTGGAAAGACTTGTGTATCTAAAAACCATTAGTTGCCTACTAAACCCTACTCACAAAAAAGGCCCTTTTTTCCTTTTGGCTTAGAAAAGAGGAAGCTGATTAAAGTGGCTTTTTGGGAACTCATACTACTCAAAAATCCCCCGGTGAAATTTTTAAAACATGTCTGATGGGAACACTCCTCAGGTTCACGATAGTTGTGTGTTCCAAATCAAGACACCCAAGAACACTTCAAATGTGAAATCTTGTATCTCTGTAAAAACCATGTCAGATAAATCACCTCAAAAGACAGATACCATTTGGACTTTTGAAAGGCTTACAGTATATTAGAACTATTCCTTTTCCCCCACCGGTTTTGTAAAGCCACTTGCTGATTCACATTTTATAAGATCGGCAATAGTGTCAATTTTTCCATTTAATGCTTCTTAACCATTATGTTGGCACAGTAGAGGCTTTTGGTCTAGTAGAAAGCTGGACTGAGCTATCTTCCCCTCACTTACATGTAGGCAGAAAATGCAAGGCAGCACTACAGAAATGAAGTATCTCTGTACATGTGACACATACTGGTATGTAGGAAAATCACATGGCATATCCCTTCATAGGCAAGGAATACAACCTGATTAGGTTCTTCAAGTGACACCATTTTGCAAAAACACACTCCAAGTTTAAATTTAACTTTAAGAAACTCACAAAATATTACAGCTTCAATCATTTCACATCTTTCTTAACTTCAAATGTATAATTTCAGAACACTTTCATGCTCTGTATTTTTTTCTCTTGCTGACAAAACTATTTATGTCAGAACTAGGAGGCTACTGATCTCCACACTCCACTACAACTGCCACCACAGACATTCAGAAATCCTACAGCATTGGCTTCTAGGTGACATATTCTGTTATACTGGAGTTGCAACACAAGTGCATCACTGCATTCAGGCCTTTAAAAATTTACACTTGGAAGGAAACCTCACTGATCTCTATGTAACCCAAAGTTAAATAACTTCGAACAGAAGCACAGCCAGCACAGCTGGTGGTGAAGGCTTCTAGGAATTGTAGTCCAAGAACACCTGGGTTACCCAAAGTTGGGAATTACTGCTCTAACACATCATTTCACAGCACATAGAATTTAAGTAAGAGCTTTCAAACTAACTTTAGTTTCTCATAATGTAGTTTAAAGAGCTGGGAAATCTGTATATTTCAATGTAAGCAATTTACTATTACTCTGCCTCCTAAATAGCTTATCCAGTCCTATAAAACAGTCTAATGTAACTTATCTCAGTACTATTTCTGAATTATCTAACTTTTGTCTTCATGTCCTGAAGATGAATCTCTGTTCAAGGTTTTACCTATGTAATTAATGAAAAACGCATTCATTTATTTACTCACATTGAGGGTCCATTACTAATACTGCAAATGTAAATGTATTTGGCAATATTCTTTGCAATCCATTTGCACTGTACCTAGGTTGAGTTAGTGTCAATCAATCACACTACTAAATACCTAGAGCGTACCATACAATTAATGTAAATAAACAAGGTAGAACAAGTGGCTGTGTCACATTTCTATGGTTTGTTGTACTTTATATTCCCCCCAAAAAAGAGCCCCCAAAATATGGCATTTGTTCAAATTGGTCACATCTGTACTTCTTTAAAGACATCACAAACAGGTTTCACTGAAACAAGTCAGTGCTTTTCAAGATGCTTGGGTATCTATTTCACAATTGGAGATTACATTTCTATTTGTACCTGTTTAACAACACACAAACAGCCTGACAAATCTGAAATTTAAAAAGGAATGATACAGTGTACTTTCAGTACATTAGCATAGGCCATTTGTTCCTCTTTGGAGTGGTGTGGGAAGCCATCTGCCTGTCCCACCTGGGAGGCAATATCATCTAGTCTGCTATTTAGGCATACCACTCTCCCTGTTCTGCCTTGGGCCAATCAGCAGCACCAGCTGGTCCTCCTGAGGCAGAGCTGGAGACGGTACTTTTCTTTCTGGCTTGCACATAATGGATGTAATCAAATAGAATGAAGTTCCTGATTTCTTTGGAATGGAACATATTGACTAAGATCTGCTATGAATAGAATCACAAGGCATGTAGTGAAAACCCTTTTGCAGAAGATACTTCTGTCTGATACGAAAAAAGCACTACGAGAACTAGATACTTGGGATTATTTTAAGTGTGTTTCACTTTTGCCAGAGAAGAAATGCAATACATCACTTAAACTGAGGAAAATAGAACACTGGTTTACCTTTACGAAGGTCCATTTGGATTTGCAGGGAGGGAGATATCCAGGAATGGATTAATCCCCTTCCTAGACCAAGGCAATGTAACGAGAATAAACTTAGAACACCTTAACAGACATAATCCACAAGCTCCTCCCAGTTTTCCTTCCCCAGCTAGCATAGAAGAGTTGAACTTGATAGGGAAGTTAGTAGAAAATATTAGAAAATGACAGTGAATTAAGGCAGAAATGAAGTCAACAACCAATTGGGTAGCTCTGGATGTTTCCTCCACACAGACTAGAGTTGACCTTCACTGAGGTAAGTCAATGTTCCATTTCCAGTCTGAGGGAAGAAGCCATTCAGGAATGGGACCTCCCAAGTGTATTCTAGGTCTATACGGAGGGAGAAGATCCGATGCTTCAGAAACAAGTTGTTTCTTATGATTGTGAAAGAGTGGGTCCAAGTAGCTGCTTCACAAATTTCTTCCAGGGAAGCATCTGGAGAGAAAGCTACAGAAATGATGGAATGGGCAATGATAGGGACAGGTTTCGGGAGGTGAGCAATCTCATATGCTATACAAATAGAAAGGTATATTTCTTCAAGGGCATGGTTCTTTCGACACAAATCTTAACCGCTTCTTATGTCAGGCTTCTGCCACTTTTTTGTCAACGGGTGATTAGGATTGGGGTAGAAGGAAGGGAGAACAATATTTTAAGGGAAAGTTGAATTAGATTTAGGAATAAAGAAAAGGAAGTTTGAAAGGAAGGAGAGGTATAAAAGGCCACAAACAGGAGAGAGAAAAAGCAAAGCCTGCCTTGAGCAAAGGTAGGAGAAAAACTGAGAGGAGCTTGTGGAGCATGCATGTTAAGCTGAAGCTTTCTGATTTTTTTTCCACTAAGAATTTCCCCATTTAGATTTCTGGTAGCTGTAGCCAAAAAAATCCAAGTCCTCAGAGGAGTTTCAATATACACATGTGCCTTGGCAAGTTTCTCTGTACAGTGACATTGTTAAGCATGATGAAGAAGGGCACAGTTGGAGCTTTCTAAGTTCCATGGGAACTACAAGGCATTAGAGAAATGGTAGTCTCTCTACACATTAGGTTCTACAGAGTCACCTCTCAAAAAATCTACCAAGCTCTTTTACAACAACCAGCTCTTCTAAATTCACTCCCCCTGAGCTTCAGATGGTATTAATACATTCCTGCATAGCTTTTTCCCATAGAATAAGAATAAGCTTTAGACACCAGGTATTCCGGATTTAAGGTGTGACTATTAAACTGTACAAAAGCTGGAGGGAAGTTCATTTCTAACGTCTCACACACACACACACACAAAAAATAGAAAAGCAAAAATTGTTGGTGTATACAAAAGTCATTTCATGTGTGAGTACTGCCTTTTTAGCTTAATTATCTTTGATATAATTTTAGAAACTGATGTAATATATATACATAAAAAATCAAGACATTTTGCTGACTTGGTACTAGGCTGCTTCAAGAGAACTGTACAGTTTAATATCAATTTGATTTTAACCCCTGCCTTGCTTTTAAAAGCATTCAGTCAAATCTATTAAGATTTTTAAAAGTGTTGATAGACCTTTTGAGATGTAACCTTTAGCTAACTTTCTTATATGATTCAATAAGTGATAAACATAAATTTCCCAAGAATTTCTCAACCAAAAGGAATGAAAAATCACTTCAGTATTTGCTTCCCAAATGCCTTTCTAATCAGAAGAACAAATTTCACATCTGAAATAATGCTGTATCCCTTCTTTGTGATTAGAAGCTTGAATGCTTTCACTTCTTCATTCTTCTAGCACAACAGTACGCAGTGCATCTTCTGTGTTGATCAATATTGATGCTATTGCTCCGTCATTGAATTCAAATGAAGTTCCTCCATCTACAACCATACAGGCATCCCAACAACGAGATCGGATGCAAACTCTGAAAATACATTAAAAGAAAGCTACAACAAAAAACTAATCAAGTGAATAGTTCCTCTTCAGATACAACTGGAGCTACAAGCAGAACAATCTTTGAAGAAGTGAAGCTGGATAATTCCATCATGATCAGTCTTGTTTACTATGGAAATACATGCTATACTTAGCCCAGCATCAGAGAAAGAAAAAGCCACTTCTACCTTATAAATTTATTTTTCTCACAGATAAGGAAGTGTTCAGCTCATGGAAGTTTCCACCTTGAGTTGGTAGGACTAACAAGCACTTCTAGAGTATGTGAGGCCTTTTGCAAGATCTTCAACAAGGTTATAGAAACAGGCAAGGAACACAGCAGCAATAAGCAACTTGCTCAGGGTGGAGAAGAAGCTGCCTTCTTTCCATATCAGATACTAAAAGAGGAAGATGTTAAAAGATATTAATAATAAAATATATTAATAATCTTCTAATATCTTCTTTTATTAAAATATATTAAAAAGGCAAGGCATCACTCTGGAAGATGAAAAGCTCTTTCCACTGAGAAACTGTGCTGACACAAACAGCTGTATGTATTACTACAAGCCCTGAACAAGGATTTTTTACATGTTTTTCTTTACAGATGCTACTCCCTGGAGATTGCGGAGTGTGCCTGCTAATTCATTGGCAAGTCCATAAAGAAACTCTAGTGTGGACCAGTGAGAGGTTCATAAGGATTCTGCTTTCTTAATTGGTGGCCAAAATGCTATTGCATAAGTTGCACCCATAGAAAGGTGGTGATATTACTGGTGGGGAGCAATTTTCAGTAACTAAAGACTTGTTTACCCTATCTCAGTCTTGTCAAATTCAAGAATAATCTGTTTCAATTGCCATCACCAGATGACAATGTCACAACAATGCATATTACTTGTGAATCAGATAAGCTACAAAAGAGAAGAAAGCTTTAACTACCAATCAATATATATCATCCAATCATTTGCCTTTTTCTTTGTTCCCAAATTTCTTAAGAGTGTTACTAAAGAGTGATATTGGAGATCGAGAAAAACAGCAGGGGGACAGTACAGGAGTCTGTTTCAACTAACAGATCTGGCTCTAGAGAGCCTCTCAGAAATGTGCATGATGTTGTAGTGATAAACTCTGATTAAATCTTTTGGAAAACACTGCATTTAGGGTTGCTTATGAGAACTACTACCTGGCTGAAAGTTGCTTCTGTAATAGGGCCAAAAGGTTCATCTTCTCATGCCAGTTGCTGCCTGTAGCAATCACCCTGCCTATGCATATGTATGAGTGTATCAGCATACACCAATAAGAGTTGTTGGGAGGCGGAGCTAGTAAAACTTAAAGGGAGGGGTGAGGCAGATAGGAAGTTAGTCAGTGGGGAGTTTGAAAACAGGAGTGTGGACCTTAGAGAGAGTTAAGTGTGGAATAAGTTGTTACAAAACTACTGAAAGCTTTAACGCCTTTTAGGAATTTACTTATGTGAAACTCAAGATCTGAACTGTATCCAATAAACCTGTTTTTGTTTTTTTGTTTTTGGTTAAAAGTTACATGCAGTATGAACCTCAATCTTTCCAAGTAAATAATGTTGACAGAGATCAGCTGGCGGCAGCGTAGATAAGAACGTGGCGTGGGCCTCAGATTAGTGAAATAATCCAGGGACATGCAAGGGGCACGTCACACTGCCTTTTACCCAGAAGGCAGAGCAACAGGAGAGGGAATCACGTGAACCCAGTCTCTTGATTCGCAAGGCAGAAGAATGCCACCCTGTATACCTTTCTCACAGCAACAGAGTTGTGGGATAAGAAAGACCTCTGTCTTTCAATAAGATAATGCTTTCTCAGGTCCTCTTACTTTTGTTCTCTCCTGCATATTTTTTTCTTTCTGCTAAAATGCTCTGAGAAAGCTTTGCCTTTCATAATCATGGTAAAAACCAAACTGTAGATCTTGGGAGAGATCACATCTCCTCCAGAAGTGCTTATTGGGCCTGCTTCTGTTTCTTGAGAGTAGAAACTTCTTTGAGCTCAATAATCTCTTGCCTACAAGGGGAAATTAATAGGAACAAAGTGTATTAAAAGCAGAGGCATTGTATTCCCCAAGCACACAGGGTGAGTATACATGACCGACATACTCAGGATGTATTAGAAAAATACTGTACAAAGCTAGACTTTCAGTCACATAAATACAGTCTCGGGGTTGGAATGTGTGCCTATATAGTTCCTTTTAATTAAACAGCTTACTCCACATAAAACATATGATGAATCCAGACCACTTTATATCTACCAAACAAGAAGATGGCAATCATTTGTTGTAGATAAATAACAAAGGTATGGATACAGTAACTTAATGTTCCCCAACCAGGTGCCCTTCATTAACCCTACCAAAGGACAGAGTTTATGGGAATTGTAGTTTAAACCATAGACACAGGACTAGGATGAAGAAGGTTGTTATAAACAATTAAATCAGATTTCATTTGATGAATAATGTGCTAACTTCCCCCTTTGTCTACTGGACACTTATATGACAGCAATGCCAATTATCATTTTCTTAGGTTTGTGAAATGAACATATAGATCCTGTTGGTCTTCACATAAAGACTGCCTAATTTGCCACAGCTAAATTTGGCTAACTGACCCAGTGTTAACGTGCCCTCAATTGCAGGCTTGGTCATGCACTTGACTGCACAACTGAAAACTGCCACTTCATGAATTAGCCATGACAACTTATGCAAATCTGACACAAACACCAAGAGATTCCACCCAAAATAGTAACATACTTATTTCAATCAACTGAGTAGGAGTTCAATCTCCAGACAAACAATAATCAGTGTTCTTCTTAAATTTTGAATTAAGTAATGAATTGAATTATGTACTACAGCTTATACTTACTTTGAAGCAAAGCCCCGTTGCCGACTACTTGAAAAAACACGGTTTGAAATAGGTTCGCGTATACTAAAAAACATCTTGGGTTCCTCTGGACTATACAGCAGTGACTCATTATATCTATTTGTTACTGTAAGTAGAGAAGTTAGACTATCAACTTCTACAAATTAGCAGCAGTCTAAAAAAGTAAACTACTAAATCAGCTGTACTGATAGAGGCCAAATATTTGTGCTTTTATTAACACATGAGTTATACCAGAGCTGTAGAGAAGGTACTTTTAAAACCCCACTCCTGGAAACTCTCAGCTAGCATGAGTAGAGGCCACACAGACTGGGATCTGAGAGCTATAATCCAAAGTGGTATCTCCCAGCTATGGCTTATATAACGATAATGAAAAGCACAGAAACATGACATGGGCTGGAAAGTACCACAGGGATCTCTTGAGTCCAGCTCTCTGCCAAAGCAGAGAAACCCTACTTAAAGCATCCTTAATGGTGATCATCCAACCTCTGTTGTACAGCTGCTTGGAAGCTCTTCGTAATGTGGGTCAAAATTGGATCTTGCCTCTGGAGCTGCAGAAAACAAGCCCACTCCATAGTCCACATGTCAGTTCCTCAAATATTTGAAGATGGCTGTTTTCTCACTTCTCGGTCATCTCTTCATAACACTAAACATTCCCACTCAACATAAAGAAACACACTTGCTTACAACAGTTATTTTTCTGCTATCTAGTTACAAGGAGTTTTAAAACAGATGTTGGTCAGCCCCATTCAAGATTCTGCTAACAGTATACTGTAGATCAATATTCAACCTACATGAAAATTAAAATGTTTTAATGGTAAATAAGGCCTTTAAATGTAGAGTGTGCAAACTAAACACAGTGGTGCCTTGCTTAGCGATTGCCCCGCATTACGATGAATCTGCTTTATGACGAGCTTTTACCCCATTGGAACATATTGAACGGGTTTCAATGCGTTTCAATGGGGTTTTTAATTTCGCTTTACAATGTTTTCACTTAACAGCGATTTTCCTGGAACGGATTATCGTTGTTAAGCGAGACACCACTGTATATAAAATAATGTTCATTGTTTCTGTAGATACATTGAGACGTAACACTAAGCAAGGGAACCGTATTTGTTTAGCTTTCATGCTGGTGACTATATCTGATAAGCCAATAAGTTTAAACCCCTTGGCTTCTTACATCTAAATGTGGCAAACAATTCTTAAATATTAGGTAACAAACAACAATGAACAGAGGGTTGGATTCAATGGTTGTGTATCAAATCTCATGTTAGTGTCTACTGGATCTCCCCAAGGGCCTCAAATCAAAGATACAGGTAGAAAATATAGTGTACATGGGGATATAGTTTGATTACAAACCGTGTGGCTTGGGAATGAAATAAAGTGGTGCCTCGTATAACGAGCACCCCGTTTAATGACGAATCCGCATAGCGATGTGGATTTTGCGATCACAAAAGTTCCCCCCAGCTGACTGGTGGGCGCTTTGGAGCAACCGCGAGGGAGGCTTCCCCGGCGGTTGCTCCGAAGCCAGCGCCGCCCAGCTGGGGGGAAATGGCCGCCCACAGCATTTTCGCGCTTTGCTTACTGAGGTGGCGAAAATGGCGGCCGGATGGGGGATTCTTCGCTTACCGGTTAGTTTTTCCCCAATAGAACGCATTAAACCGAGTTTAATACGTTCCTATGGGTTCCCACCCCGAATAGCGAAGAATCCGGATAGCGACGTTAATCCTGGAACGGATTAACGTTGCTATGCGGGCACCACTGTATATCTATACTTCACATACTGCTATGCGGGGCACCACTGTATATTTGTACTTCATATATCTTTCCACCCTGGAACTAAGGGGAGGCCTGCCTTACAGGGTTGTTGCAAGGATTAATTGGGTGTGTTGGAAAGAGATGCATATGTATGTGTGTGTGCGCGGATGCATGCATGCATGCGCGCGCGCGCACACACACACACACACAAAATCCCATAAAACCCTACATAACAAAATTCATAGCAAAATATACCCTAAGGACCCTTTCAACTCTATGATTCTATGAAACATTAAAAAGAAAAAAATGCCTGAAAACTTAAGTTATGGTTAAGGCAAATATACGGAAAAGAAGTCTTACCTTTCTGTACTAGTTCCTTGCTCAGTGGAAGGTCTAAGTTGTCGTAACTTTTAGCTATTGAAATGAAAAGACAACAATTACAGTATTGGTGAGATGCAATTATTTTCTGCATTTTAAGTTAACAAGTACAGTATCAGGGAGGAAAGCAACATAGTAACAAAACAAGAAACCTAAACATGTCTGAATTTATTGAAACTTGACATTTGTAGTAAAGTTTCTTTCATTCTTGAATGATTGATTTGCAAACAATAACATAAATAAAAACATATGTGCTGTATTTGTGCTCCCACCTTTCAGACCTTTCCATATGCCTGAGGCACAAACACTTATTCACACTGAGAGGTTTAACATGGATGGAACTGTATTTTTAAGTTAAGTATACAGTATTTGTTTTATACCGTGCTTTAAAAATAAAATTGTCAGGCATATAGAAGGATAACCCCTGCTGAACAAAAATCAGTATGACTTTTTCAAAGGTAAGTCTTAACTCACTGTTCTTTCAGAATTTTTTTAAAAAGTTTCAATAAACATGTGGGCAGGACTGATGTAGTAGACACAACTTATTTGGATTTCCAGAATGCTTTTGACAAATTTCCCCATTGTTTTGTGAAGGAGAGGAAGAATTTATCTTTAACTGCACTCATCCTCAAAAAGAAAAATTCTTCTTGATAGCAGCTACAGTACTGATAATGTAGCCAGATTTTATGCAGCTGTTAAGTTCCTGTCAGAGCTCTCTAATAAACAGTTTAACCCAGTCTAAACTCTACACAAATTAAACTGGCCAAAATCCTATTCCACAATTACACAGATGCAGCTCAAAGTTAAGTGTGCAGTGCTTGCACTAGTGCTGAAGTACTATCTCCAAAGCACTTCTACCAACATATTGCACAACCAGTTGTGCCATGGACATGACTGATTACACAATTCCATAACAAGATTTCTTGTTGCTTAGTGCAACACCCAGCACATTTATGCTCAACTTTACATTACACTGGCATGAACAGGATACTGCCCACTCTTTTTATAAAATACTGTATATATCTGTGGTGGTGCCTAGTCATAATAATAATTTTTTATTTATACAGACATTCCTTAGCAACGATTCATGTGCAATTTTACCAAGACCTCTCATGGACTAAAACTGGCTAAAGAAGAAGAAACAGATAGTAGGGGAGGAAACAGTCAGTTCTTTCAATTGAGGGATGTGAGCAGTGGGATTTCTCAGAGATCTGTACTGGGACCAGTGGTTTTTTAACTTGTTAATAAATAATTGGAAATTGTGAGTGGGCAGTGAGCAGGCCAGGTTTGTTGGTAACACAAGACTGTTCAGTATTATAAGAACAAAAAATTTTTTTGAAGACCTACAGGAGGAACACGCTAAACATGGTGTCTGTACATTAAAATAGCAAATGAGATTCAATGTAAGCAAATGCAAATCATAACAGGGGAACTCCTATTTGACACCCTGGCTGTTGGCGTCTGGGGTCCTCAAACTTCTGGTTTGTCCCCTATGCTATTTAACATTTATATGAAATCACTGGCAGACATTGTCTGGAGTTTTGGGGTTTGGGGTCACCAGTATGTGGATGACATCTAAGCTGTTTTAGTTTTAGATCAGTGACTGGTGTCAATAATGGACTAGATGAGGTGAATAAACTGAAATTTAATCCAGACAAGTCAGAGATGCTCCTGGCCAGTCAAAAGGGAGAGCAAGGAAAAGGGTTACATTTACTCCAGTTCACAGATGCACAGCTTGGGGGTGCTCCTGGATTCATCTCTGAACCTGGATGCCCAGATTTTGCCTGGTGCCAGGAGTGCCAAGGCATAGTTAAATTAGTGAGCTAGCTGTGCCCATTCCTGGGGAGGTCTGATTTGGTCATGGTAACACATGCATTGGTTACATCCTCGCTGGATTACTGTAACACCCTCTATGTGGGGCTGCCTTTGGAAAGTGCTTGAAAACTTGAAAGGATCCAAAATACTGTACTCACTGTGTTAACTTTGGCTGGCTACAGGGATCACATAACCTTTCTGTTACAGCAGCTCCAGTGGCTGCTATCCCAGTTCTCACAATTCAAAGTGCAGTTTTTAACCTATAAAGCCATAAATAGCTTGGGTAAAAGCATCTCAGGGACCACGTCTCTCTTTATGAGACTGCATGGGTGTTAAGATCATTGAGGGAGGCCTTTCTCTCCATCACACCACCTTCACAGGTGCATTTGGTGGGTCTCCTTTGTTCCCACACTCAGGCTCTGGAACTCCATCCCATACAAGGCCAGGCTGGCCTTTTCTTCTCTTTTCTTTTGGCTGTTCTTCCACAAGCAGGCAAAGACTTTTCTCTTCAGGTAAGCTTTTCCTCAGTGACTGACTGCCTGAGCAGGGTTTTCAGGTGGGTTGTATACCTTACTGCTTTGAATGTGTTTTGATGGTCCTTAGCAAGCTGGATTTTGAAGGGACAGAGGAACTAGAGACCAAATTGCTAACATGCGCTGGATTATGGAGAAAGTCAGAATGTTTCAGAAAAACATCTACTTCTGCTTCATTGACTACGCAAAAGCCTTTGACTGTGTGGACCACAGCAAACTATGGCAAGTCCTTAAAGAAATGGGAGTGCCTGACCACCTTATCTATCTCCTGAGACAGGAAGCAACAGTTAGAATTGGATATGGAACAACTGATTGGTTCAAAATTGGGAAAAGAGTACGACAAGGCTGTATATTATCTCCCTGCTTATTTAACTTATATGCAGAATACATCATGCGAAAGCCAGGACTAGATGAATCCCAAACCGGAATTAAGATTGCCGGAAGAAATATCAACAAGTCAGATATGCAGATGATAAGGAAGCAACAGTTAGAATTGGATATGGAACAACTGATTGGTTCAAAATTGGGAAAAGAGTACGACAAGGCTGTATATTATCTCCCTGCTTATTTAACTTATATGCAGAATACATCATGCGAAAGCCAGGACTAGATGAATCCCAAACCGGAATTAAGATTGCCGGAAGAAATATCAACAAGTCAGATATGCAGATGATACCATTCTTGGGCTCCATGATCACTGCAGATGGTGACAGTAGCCACGAAATTAAAAGACAGCTGCTTCTTGGAAGGAAAGCAATGACAAACCTAGACAGCATCTTAAAAAGCAGAGACATCACCTTGCCGACAAAGGTCCGCATAGTCGAAGCTATGTTTTTTCCAGTAGTGAAGTATGGAAGTGAGAGCTGGACCATAATGAAGGCTGGCTGCCGAAGAATTGATGCTTTTGAATTGTGGTGTGGGAGGAGACTCTTGAGAGTCCCCTGGACTGCAAGGAGATCAAACCTATCTACTTTGAAGGAAACCAAGCCTGAGTTCTCACTGGAAGGACAAATCCTGAAGCTGAGGCTCCAACACTTTTGCCATCTCATGAGAAGAGAAAACTCCCTGGAAAAGACCCTGATGTTAGGAGAAGGGGAGAAGGGGACAACAGAGGATGAGATGGATAGGCAGTGTCACTGAATCTACCAACATGAATTTGATCAAACTCTGGGAGGAAGTGGAAGACAGGAGGGCCTGGCGTGCTCTGGTCCATGGGGTCATGAAGAGTCGGGCACAACTTAAGGGCTAAACAACAACAAATATTTTTAGTATGGTATTTCTTTGATCCTTTTAAATATATTTACTAAATATCCTATATAATATATTTACAAAATATGTATATTATACTATATAGTATATTACTATATATAATAACATTAAACACACTTTAGATATTTCTGCTCCTGTTTTTGTGTTGAAAAAAGTTCTACCTAAAACTCACCAATCATCAGGATTTCTTCCACAGCCTGGTTTGCTATCTTGTTGATATTAAATGACCTGAAGACGAAAATAAAATGCCTTCATAAGCATCTAGACCAGTCCCAGCTGCAAGACATTCTCTACCTCACTCCAGCATTCTTTTTCTCATTTTAAATTATAATTAAAAAATTAATTACTGAGCATCACTTTGGAAACCAGGTGGCAGGGTTGTCGTTTAATTAAATGGATATTATATGAACATTTTTATTCAATTCTTTGCTACATCTGGCATAAAAACCACCTGAACCTTATTCATCTGAACATTAAAAACATATCAACAGTACATTTTACTTCCATCTATTATCATATTAAATATCCTTAACACTGTACTTAAGGAGTCATGGAGACAATGTACTGTACTTTTTAATCAAGCTACATGTATCAGGGTTAAGGCCAGACAGTTATTTCTTTACATAAAGTGATATTGTTCCACTACATCTGTACCACGCCTGTCAGCATTTACATTGGTTCTTGGTATTTAGTAAACACAAAGAAGTGTCAGCTGTGACCGTAAAATACTAAAATTACAATCTAAATTACAACTTGCTATGTATACCCATTAAAACAACCTTTTCCCAACCGTGGACCAGTTGGGGGCCGGGGTCCATGTGCACAGGGGTGTGGTGTGTTCACATGGGGGTGTGTGGCATGCTTGCACCGGGAACCCTCCCAGACTGAATTATGGCACTGGGAGCCACCAAATGGCAAGAGGCAGAGCAGTGCTCTTATCTCTGTGCCATTCCCATGCTGCTGCTTCATGCACTCTGAAAAGTGCTTAGCTGCACCTTTGCAAATCATGAGAACAGCACAGAAGTAAGGGGGTTGTTCCAGCTCCTGTCATTTGACAACTCCAATCCCATAAATTGGCCTGAGAGGTTCCTGCCAAATTTTGGAACTTAAAGAGTCTGACTTTCTTTTCCAAAAGTCCTATCTCTTTCAAGACCTGAATAGCTCAGTGATTTAGGTATCTGGTTATGGAGTCATAGGTTGGGAGTTCAATATCCTGCTGTACCACCTTGTCGGGGCTGGACTCAATAATCCACAGGGTCTCTTCCAGCTTTGCAGTTTGAAGATGATGATGATGATGATTAAAAGTAAGTTAGAATAGGACTGCAGTTCAAGAAAGCTCCATCAAATTCACGAACTGGTCCTTATGGAAGTTAACACTCACTAACCACATTTTCCTTTCTATAAAAATTCCATTTCTCCTTTTGGAAAACATAAAGAAGTATTTTAGAAACACACCAAACTTACCAGGCTTTTGATCCAGTTCCAGTGCATATATTAAGACCTGAACTCTTTTGTTTCTCCCATGGACCATCATCAACTGATATTTCATAGTAAGAGGCCCTATGAAGGGAGAATTTAAAACTGGGTTTGCAGGACTTATAGTTCACCCTGAATGAGACAGAACACAGCCCCACATCAGGCATTTACCAATCCAAAAAGGCCCATTTCAAACATGGCTAAAATTTCACAATTAAATTTTATATCTCAATTTTAAACAGAAAGATCAAGATTTTTTAATGGTTTTAAAATCAAATTTCAAAAATTCAGCGAATTGTTAGTACAGCAGAAAGCCATTTTGAAAGCCTTTTAGAATTTTCAAGTGTGATATTGTGGGTTCTTTTGTTAGCAATATTTCCTTTGCTGGAATATGAACACATGCAGCTTTAAATGATTTCTCCATAAGTGTATATGTCATTAAGATCCAAAAAGAATTTTGAGAATTATTTGTAGTGGCAGAAAATCCCTCATCATCTGCAATCTATCCAAACGCACAGTCGTTCAATCCATATTGCTTTGGAGCTGGCCTCAGATCAGGTTATAGCATGAACTATAATCTTTACTTTAATTACATATCAGTTACAACTGCACTTCTTTATAGCTATATATGGCCATTTTCATATTTTCTGCTACTATGTAAACACTCTCCAAGTTTAAATTCCATAAAACATAAAGTGTCTGGCACCTTAACCTTTGCCTTTGAATCATTTTATATACCACTTCATCAGGTAGCCCATTTGTCGCCTACACTCCATAGTCCCAGAGCATCCTACCAAAAATGAACAGTAAACTGCCTCTGAATATTTTATATCTAGAAAACCCTGAGAATTGTCCAACAGGTGGTTGGACACAATGGCCTTATAGGCCTCTTTCAACTCTATTATTCTGTGATTCTATGATAATCCAAGAATCAAAGGTACACATTAGTAGTAATAGTAATAGCAATAATAATGATGTCTGAATATAGCTGTATGAATTAATAAGTAAAAGCACAGTAAGTCTGATTGCATATTTATGTTCATGCATTGTGTAAAAGTGATACTCTGGAGCTGACATTTAGCATACCTGGATGCAAGAGATTCTCCAATAAAGACTTCATTTAATGATCTTACTGGCAGGAGGTGTGGTTCAGAAATCTGAGATTCTGTAGACATAGGCAAATTACACTGATGAAATATTGGTTAAGAAGATAAAAGTCTTGAGAAACAGTTAAAGAATCATTATTATACAGTATGCATATGTGTGTATATGTGTGTGCGTGTGCATGTGCGCATCTACACACAAAAATCATGAAAGTTTAACAGGACTAGAAATTCCACATTTACAGACCCGATGTTGACAAACTGTCCACTTATTCAATAGATCCTGCATCTATTTGGCATACATTCAATGACATGAAGTTAGTATTTTAAGATGAATCAGAAGCTATTTCACATTGAGGTGGGTTGAATATATTTTATCAGATAAATTATACTTACTATGATCCTGAAATCTTCCATTAACATGAGCCCTGCTATGTTGTTCTTGACTCAGCTGCTGTTCATGCAAATCAACAGGAACAGGGTTAATACCAGTGCCTTCAAGATATAATCGGATGCGCTGTCGCCACTGCCATCTTTAGAAGGAAAAAGTGGTAACAAAGGAAAAAAAATGAAATAGGTGACATTTTTAATAAGCAAGCAGTACATGAATGTCAACCCATGTAATCACATTAAAGAAGTCACTGGATGAAATTCTATTGCATTCCCCTAGGCTTTGCATAATTTACCACAGCTAATTGAAGCTAACTGATGAATGTTGGGATGTGACTTGTGTACCTGACCACATGAACACTTGTTTAACTAAGATGTGCCCTAGCACCTCGTCAGTTAGCTACAGACAGTAAAAGCAGGTCACACAAACTTTGTGAACAACAGGATTCTGGCCATTAAATATCTAGTTGTAAATTGAGCTGATTGTGGTTAGAACTCAATACGAGCCAGATTAAGTTTATAAATGTTAGGATGCACTATTGCCACCTTTCTGCTGCTGGAACGGTGGTTTCACAGCACTTACATGAGCCCAAAAACAGCCTATGTTACAAAAACCAGAACCTGTACCTATCACCATAACCCCATCAGCATAAATTTCAGTGGAGAACTGTTGCCATTTAAGACACTGGCGTAGTTTTTGCTCCAACACACCAGTTGTGTGAGATATGGTGTGTGTGAGCAAATGGCTAATCCAACATCTTAACTTGCAGCAATTCACCGTTGAACGTCAAAATAAAGCAATTGCTGTTGTTTTATAACCAAATCTGTTATAAAACATCAATGTCTTTAAAATGTGCATTTATTCCAGCAAATGTTACACATTAGCCAGAAACATAATGCAATCACCAGTGTTAGAAATATCTGTTGTCTTACCCAACTGATCACCTACAATATGCCTATGTGCCACCAGAAAAATCTGAAGGTTTCTAGGTGTTACATTTAAGCATCCTCCTACCTAGCTCAGCCTTTATATTGTGAAAGTTACTGTACACAATATTGCATTCAAAGTCAATCAAATGTTACTATATTTATTCTCTAATTTCTCAGAGGAAGTAATAATGTTATTTTGTATCTTTGGTCTACTGCTCCAAATATACTCCCTCATTATAACATCATGCTATAAATTAATTAAATTTCAAAAGTTTTCCTGAGTTGATAAGGACAGATCACATGGTATATATTTTTATATAATGCTTTACTGGTAAGTAAACAGCAGAGTTTCTTCACAATTTATCCTTCTGAATCAATAAGAGATTATTAGAAAGATGCTTAACTGGTAAGTCTTAGTACAGCATGGGAGGGGGCGGGGAGGAACTAAACAACTCCATGATAAAATAAGGGCTTTCTTCACAAATCTTTCCTACTGAGTCAATTCACCACCACGTAGAAGACAGATAATGCAAATAGGTATTTACTGATAGTTTTATCAATTTACAAATGGAATCTGCAATGATATACTGCAGATGTCCCTGTTCCAGATAGCCACATCATTCCTCAAGTTGTTCCACTCCATTCTCCTTCCCTTCTATGGTCACTAACAGCCTTCAATGTATTATAATGTGGGCATTGTTATGTCCTCCCCAGTTATTTTTTTACTTCTGCAAACAATGGATTTCCCTCAAACACACTGATTATCTCCTTATTTTTCAGTGTTTACAAACTTGTCAACTCTGATCCAGATGAGTTCCTGGTGTGATTTTCATCATTTTGTATATGAAACAGTTTGCTGAAGAAAACTTATTTAACACTGCTGATGTTTTCCGACACTCTCCATTATGCAAATATCCCACTGTAGCTTGATGACAAGCTGGATTAATTTATTCTTCTCATAATCCAAAATCTTGATAATTTATTGACTGATTTTCCTAAATATTGGCTGAAATCTCATTGTGGTGCTATGCAAAAGGTATAACTTTCAGAGGCAAACTGCCTCCAAATGCCTCCTTGAACACTGTTTTTCAGTTAAGTTTGTTTTTAGAGTTCTAAATGGTTTTAATCATTCAATGTATTTTAATCAGTATTATAATTTAATTGTTTAAACGTATAGTTTGCTGTGTTTTAATTCTATTCTTTATAATACCGTGAGTCACCTTGAGTCCCCTTATTGGGAGAAAGGTGACCTATAAATAATAAAAATAAACAAATTGAGAAATCACCACAAACATTGCATACTGAGCTATGCAACTCAACAGACAATAGATAATATTTACAGATATTTCTTAAATTGAGGCAATCCACCTCTGAAAGTTAAAGCCTTCTGTGTAGCGGCACAATAGGATTTAAGCACTGCCTTTAATGGGATTCATTAAGGAGAAGTATGCACAGAAGCAAAGAGTAAGCATTGACTGGATACAGCAAATCTTACATTAGGGCAAGGCTGGCACAGATCAGTTCTTTAGCAGTACTGTATGATTTTACACACACAATTTAAAGCTCTTTAAAGACTATTGTCTTTAGATATGTAAACTCAGACTTACCTAAATTCACCTCGATAAAGTTTCTCTAAGGCATCTGGAAATGAGTATGTGTATCGTACAGGTAAACATAAGTGGCCTTCTGATCTAGATAAAACAATGTAAAAATAAGATATTAAAAGTATCTTGCTACAATCCTCAGACAGAACTCTATTCTCTCTCATTCATTTTAAAAAGGGGAATAAATAGTATACTAGATTATAGGAACAGGATTCTTAGAATTATTTATTTTAAACTACAAATCTTATAATTCCCCATTCTGGAAGTTCCACCTGACAGGAAGACATCTACAAATCCTAAATGTAGCTCATTTGGGGAAAAGGCCCAAAAAAGACATTACCTACCTTTAACCATAGTTCTTCTAGTGGTCTAGTGAATTCACACAAATGGGTTGTTCAGCGCCTGTGCTGAACTTCTCAGAAGATTCTAGAGCTAAAACTAACAATTTAGTGGGATGTTCCCCCATGGGGCACATGCTCCTCCCACCCAAGATTCCTCTCAATTCCTAAAATTTGTCCGCCGGGCAGAAGAGTCATTTAATATAACCCGTAACTGACAAAGGGGAGGACGGGTGGGATGTGTGAATTCACAGAGGACCTCTAGAAGAAGTATGATTACAGGTAGGTAACCTCTTTTTCTTCTTTGTGGCCTCTATAAATGCACACAAATGGGTGACTAGCAAAAGTTTCACTTACCAGATGGTGGGACATCATGGTAGGAAGGATGCCAACACAGCTCTGCCAAATCCAGCATCATTGCGTGCTCTCACATCTAGACGATAGTGTCTGACAAAGGTTGATGGAATAGACCATGTTGTAGCATGACAGATATTAGCAATCTTGATTCCATGCTGGAAGGCAGTAGATGCTGACAGCACTCTAGTGGAGTGTGCATTCAGTTGATCATGAGGTGACACTCTAGTGGAGTGTGCATTCAGTTGATCAGGACGTGACTTGCCTGACAGTTCATAAACCAGAGATATAGTCTGGCTTATGAACTGGAAATGGATTGTGATGAGGCTGGGCCTCCCTTCTGAGGACCATAGAAGCATATTGTAGATTTTAATTGTTGCTTTTAACTTGTTTATGCACAATATATTGTGAGCCGCCTTGAGTAGACTTCTGTCTAGAAGGGCAGGATAAAAATCCATAAATAAATAAATAAATGAATGAATGAATGAATGAATGAAAATCAATCAATCAATCAATCAATCAATCAATCAATCAATCAATCAATCAATCAATCAATCAATCAATCAATCAATCAGGCCTGTTAGTTTTTCTGAGTCTTATTTCTGTCAATATAGAATGCCAGGGAGCATCTTACGTCGTGCATGAGGAGCATGTGCTCTAGAGACAATATAGAATGCCAGGGAGCATCTTACGTTGAGCATGCGGAGCATGTGCTCTAGAGGAGATGATGGTGATTGGAAAAAAGATGGTAATATAATCGGTTGATTAAGATGAAATTCTGAAACAATCATAGGTAAGAAGGAAACATCAAAATATAAAGTCACTTTATCTGGATGAAACTGGGTAAAAGGTGGATCAGAGCGGAGGGTAGCAAGCTCACTGGCTCTTTTAGCAGAGGTTATAGCCACCAGGAAGGATGTTTTCAAAGAAAGCAACTTAAGGTTAGAAGAAACCATTGGTTCAAATGGTGGGTGCATGACAGCATTTAGAACAATTTGCAGTGACTTTGGGGGAATGATACTTTGGCATGGACGAATATTGTTGAGTCCCTTAAGAAATTTCTTAACTGTAGGGTGAGAAAAAAGTTTTGCTGAGCGAGAATTATCTGGTTGATGGGCAACAATGGCTGATGTATAAACCTTTAAAGTAGAAAGAGAGAATGCAAATTTGAAAAGATGAAGTAAAAAGGCAAGTAGTGTTTTTAATGGAACAGGTATTCCAGGTAAGTTATTTGATTCGGTGTACTTGAGAAAGGCTTTCCATTTGTTTACATACAGGAGCTGGGTCAATGGCTTTCGAGCTCGATCCAAGACTCGCTTCAAGGCCGGGGTATCCTCCACGCTGTCAAATTCAGTGATGGGAGATCGGGGTGGTAGACCATCCCATCACTCTGTGTCAGCAGGTACGGAACCAGAGGGAGTCGGAATGAGTCCGTTGACATCAACCTGAGGTGAGTGAACCATGGCTGTCTCGGCCACCAGGGAGCTAGGATCGCGTTCGATTGGAAGTGCTGAATCCTGATGGTTTTTCTCTGAATGAGTGATATCGGTGGGAATAGATAAAGCAGTCCCTTGTTCCAATCCATCATAAATGCGTCCCCGACAGAGTTTTGGTCTGCTCCGGCTCAAGAGTAAACCTCGCACTTACTGTTTGCATTTGAGGCAAAGACATCGATGGCTGGTGTCGTTCGATTGGAAGTGCTGAATCCTGATGATTTTTCTCTGAATGAGTGGTATCGGTGGGAATAGATAAAGCAGTCCCTTGTTCCAATCCATCATAAATGCGTCCCCGACAGAGTTTTGGTCTGCTCCGGCTCAAGAGTAAACCTCGCACTTACTGTTTGCATTTGAGGCAAAGACATCGATGGCTGGTGTTCCAAACTGGCCACATAGTTGGTCGAAAATGGCAGTACAGTGGTGCCTCGCTTAACGAGCGCCTCGCTGAGCGATGAAATCGCTTAACGAGGCGCTCTGGGCCATTGCTGGAGCATTCGCTCAGCGATGGCCCCTATGGGGATTTTTCGCTTTGCGATATTCGCTAAGCGATTCGCTTAGCGAATATCGCATAACGAAGCGGGGAGAACAGCTGATCGGCGGTTCCAAAATGGCCGCCGGAAGGTCCGCGCCGCATTTTCGCGCCCTGCCCTCGCTTACCGAGGGCGCGAAAATGGCGGCGCTATGTCAGAACCTCGCTTAACGGTGAGTTTTCAAGCCATAGGAACGCATTGAACAAAGTTCAATGCGTTTCTATGGCTTTTTTAATTCCGTTTAGCGATGTTTCGCTATAGCGAAGGCACCACTGTACTTAGAGACCATTCGTGAGTCCTTGATGTCATATGGCTGAGATGATCCGCTATATGTTTCTTGTCCGTGGAAATGGGTACAGCTGTGGGAAAGATAGATAAAAGGGATGTGGTGGTGCTGCAGGTTAAACCGCAGAAGCCTCTGTGCTGCAAGGTCAGAAGACCAGCAGTTGTAAGATCGAATCCACGCAACAAAGTGAGTTCCTGTCGCTTGTCCCAGCTCCTGCCAACCTAGCAGTTCGAAAGCATGTAACTGCCAGTAGATAAACAGGTACCACCTCAGTGAGAAGGTAATGGCATTCCGTCTCTAATCCCGCTGGCCACGTGACCATGGAAACTATCTATGGACAAACACTGGCTCTACGGCTTGGAGACGGGGATGAGCACCGCACCCTAGAGTCGAACACGACTGGACTAAATGTCAAGGGGAACCTTTACCTTTTTATGGGAAAGATGTGATGTTGGTAACACCACTCCCACAGGTCGATGGCTAAATAAAGGAGGGATAAAGAATGTGTGCCTCCCTACTTGTTTACATAATATAGTGTGGTTGTATTGTCCATAGCCAATGGCACCACTTGACCCTTGATGATTTGGAGAAAAGCATGGAAAGCTCTGATGATCGCTAAGACCTCGAGATAGTTGATGTGGAGTAACTGTTCTCGTTTCGTCCACAGTCCATGTCCATGTCACTTAGATTGGTCTGCATGTGTCAATTTCAAATGGCTGGAGGATGTTTTGGTTGGTACTGAAGATGTGGGAAGAACTGTTTTGGATTTATGGGATTGACATCAATGTTGTGGAGAAGGTGACTGATTGTATTCTTGTTGAGATGGGGACGCGTACCGAACACGTTTCTCTTCATCGAAATGAGGACGATCATAGTGGGACTGTATGAAATATGGGTTGAAATATTGATATGGAAACACTGGAAAGGGGAAGTATTCTCTGTACGAAGGACCATGCCGTGGTAGAGAAATATGCTTTTGTTCCTCCTGATGTTTCTTGGGAGAACAATGGTCAGATTCAGAGCCAGACAATTGGATGTTGACTGCCCTCCCTGATGCAGGGCTGGAATGGGCCAAGGCCAGGCTGGATTAAGACTCAGCAACAGAAAGGCCAACATTGGGAGACAGGTTGCATGTCAAGGCGGGGGCCTGAGACATTGATGGTTGTGTCTCCTCTCTCTCTGAGGTACAACCACGCGCCTCCCTGGATGATTCCTCTAATATTGTAGAGTTGCCTGAGGTGGTTTGGCTTGCTTCGTCTTTTTAGTGACCGATTTATCATTTTTCTTTACTAGATCATGAGCTTGAGATGTCATTTACAAAGTTGACGTTGACTTTAGATTAGCAGCCAATTTGGCTTTCTTGGCAGTTTCCTTGGATAGTGGAGGCGGAGTTGGCGGGTCGGGAGCTGGCTGTGTTGGAATATGCCACTCTACAGATGCAGTTGGGGGTGTCATTGTCTCCACAGAAGCTGCAGGAGGATTCACGGCCATTTGCCAAAGATATGATCTTAGCCTTTGAAGCCTGAGTTTTAACGCCAATTTGGTCAGTCTTTTACAAGCGGCGCACAAGTGAGTTGGGTGCTCTTCACCCAAACAAAATAAACACCTCTCATGGCTATCGAAGAGTGGAATTTTGTTAGCGCAACTAACACAGCGCTTAAAAGGGGGCAGTGAGGCCATGAAGTGGGGAAAAAGACGGAAAAATCTATTGAATGCGGAGGCGGGATGTCAAAAATATGGGAAGGCAAAAACTGAAGTAACTTACAGGGGAACGTTGATTAGTTGATTGAAAATAAGAAGATTCAATTTAGATGAGAATCAAAAGGGGAAGTCTTGAATAATATGTTGCAATAGTTAGAAAAATTGTTTAATCTTTCCGAAAGTCCGATCAGCTTGGCGGAAAAAAAGGAACTGAGGGGAATCTTGGGTGGGAGGAGCATGTGCCCCATGAGGGAAAATTCCACTAAATTTTTTTTAGCTCTAGAATCTTCCGAGAAGTTCGGTTCAGGGACATGGGAGGAGCATGTGCCCCATGAGGGAAAATCCCACTAAATTTTTTTTTAGCTCTAGAATCTTCCAAGAAGTTCGGTGCAGGGACAGAACAACCCATTTGTGTGCATTCACAGAGGCCATGAAGAAGAATGTGGCCTTGCTAGGCCTAGCTCTGCCGAACTTCCTGTTCAGAAAAGAAGCTCCCAACTAGCTGAGAGGCAACTTGTCAATTATTACACAAAAGTTGCCAAATATATCAAGGCACCCTGTTTTATAACAAAACTTGTTTTGGAGTTGATGTGACTTAATCTGAGCTTTCCATTTAATCAAATGACAGAAGTAGTAACTGATGCATTGTAGACAAAAATGTTTCTAAACAAGATTACTCTTATTGTTTCCAAGTAAGAATTCTTGATGATTACAGCCTGAAAGAGCAAAGAAATGAAAGAGGACTCAGTAAATAGACAAATATTGAAAGGAAAATGTTTCAATCAAGCTAATTATGGTACCCGATGCAGAATTCAATATTTCTGTTTCTAAGAAATATTGTACAGTATTATTATATCATAAATAACACACTACATGGGATGTTGTCGTTTAGTCGTGTCCGACTCTTTGTGACCCCACAAAGAGTCCATGGGATTCTTCTACATGGGATAGAAGAAGACAAAGACAACATAAGCAGCTCTGGTTGGGCGAGGTTTTCCTTTGTGACTTCGAAAAATCTAGATCTCCATGTAACTTTCAAGAAGCACACAACTACTAAAATACTATGGCTTAAATTCTAGTGCTTTAATTTACACAATGACATCATTGGACAGGGTGGTTTTTCAGAAAATACATTTTTCAAATCTGGCCCGCAAAGATAACAAGGCTCCCTTGGAACCCTTTCATCTTGGGGAAGCCACTGGAAGCAGCTGGGGGAAATATTTAATTTCTGAAAATCATTATAGCAATGGTGGTAATCTTCCAAAATGAAATACTTCCCACATCTCACTACAACCACCAATAGTTTTCACATCACAAAAGGAATAGGGAGCTTCTATGAGAAGAAACAGAATTTTTATTTTAATTTCTGAAAAGCACCATGGCTGATTACACCATCAGTCTTACAAGGCATAAGTTACGCTACTGGATTTCAGGCACTAATTCTCAATACTTATTTATTAGTGAAACAACATAAACTAGGAAGGCACACTTCAAGGATACCTTATCCTCCACCCTCCAGGAAATCTGTGGTGATGTTTCAACTACTGAAGATGAGACATTTACCAAGTTAGAGTATCATACGATGAAGAACAAAACCTTTATGATAGACATACTTATTTTAATGAAAATATATACAGTGGTGCCTCGCTTAACGATTGCATCGTTTAGCGATGAATTCGCATAACGATGTGTTTTTTTAGAAAATAATATGCACCGTATAACGATGTTTCCTATGGGCAATTTTCGCTTAGCGAAGTTTGGGACCATGCTTCGCATAACGAATGCGATTTTAGGTCCCCTGCTTCACTTAACGATGTTTCTTTTTTCAATTAAAAAAGTGTCTTAGAAAGGTCAAAAACGGTTCTAAATGCTTGGATTCGTTAGAGGACCCCCTAAGTCATGTGCAAACCTGATTTGGCTTTGATCTGACTTTTCGTTAATTTATGGTGAATTTTTTTTTCCGGCCCATAGGAACCAATGGACCTGTCAAAATCTGACAGCTCCATGCTTTCCTATGGGGGAGAAAACAATTCACCATAAATTAACGAAAGTTCAGATCACAGCCAAATCAGGTTTGCAAACGACTTATGGGGTCCTCTAACGAATCCAAGCATTTAGAACAGTTGCTGAGTCTTCATTAATTTTTTGTGAATTTCTTCTTCCCCCATAGGAAATAATGGAGCTGTCAGATTTTGACAGCTGTCAAAAGTTGGGGGGAAAAAATTCACCATAAATTAACGAAAAGTCAGATCAAAGCCAAATTAACTTTTGCATCCGTTTTAGAGGGTGCAGAAGCTAATCCAAGCATTTAAAACCATTGTTGACCCTTTTATGACACAATTTTGCAAAAATTGACTTCGCTAAGCCATTGAAATGTATTGAGTCAGCTTGAATACATTCCAATGGAGGAAACATTATATCGTTTAACGAAGTTTCCTATGGGTTTTTTGGCTTTAGGACGGCAATCCGTGCCTATTGGAACGGATTAACCGGTTTCCAATGCATTCCTATGGTAAATGGTGTTTCGCATAACGATGTTTCACATAACTTTTTTTTTAACCAATTAAAATCGTTATGCGAGGCACCACTGTATCTCCTAAGCCAACAATCTAATACCCAGATACAGGATGGAGACTAGATATTGAATTAATGAGTAGAGAACATAAAAACTGAAATGATACACAGGGATAAAGAACGGAAATATATCTGTAATATAAATTGGAAGACAATTCCTATGTGCTATATTTATTCCTAAATACAGGTGTTTTAGAAATGGATATACAAACCTATAATATTTAGAATATTGGGCAATCAGACCAGTTAAATTATTTGCTCAGTTAATGGAACAGCACTAGCTGAAACTAATCTTGAAATTTATATACTGTAGAAACTAATCTTCTGCCTAAGCTATTCTTAATCAATACAACCATTCCGTTTCTTAAGCACACTTGCAGAAGTTACAAAAAATTATGAATGATGGGGAAAAGAAGGGAAAATGTAACATGTATTACAAGGGCTAGCATCCTCCTGATTAATTATACAGGAATAAGTGCAACTTTGTAAATGGCAGCATGAATTGCTGCTAGTTAATGACTCAATGCCTGTTTTCTAACTTAAGCATGCTTTAAGGCTGATGAAATGATAAGCAGGGGCCTTTTTTCAGGAATTAAACATTATCTATTTCCATTTCAAGGCTCACACAGCTCCATTTAATCCCTCTTATTGTTGGAAAGCAATGGGAGTTACAGGACAGGAGGAGGAAATCTTTAACTGCAAAAATTCTTTGCCCTATTTATACCACTGCACTTAACACTAGTGTAAGAAACCAGTAGGATTCTAGCCTATGTATTTAATAACAGAGAACTCCTTTTTACATGTATAACAACAGAAAATGTCCTATACATACTTACAGTACTCAAATAATTATGAGACTTGTAATACTGCATCTTACAAAACAAGAGATCTAAAAATTTTAGGCTCACCTATCTGGGTCTGTGTTTATTCCAATAACTGGTTTTAATCGGTCCAGTACCTTACTGGCTGCTAGAAGCATTGTGCCATCACCTAGGTGGAATATATCCTTTAAAATCAGATTGTTTTCACATGTGAAAATATATACATTCTGTAAATATCAAACACACATCTTTAAGCCCTTAAACTTTAAACCTTTTAGTCCAAGCATGGAACAATGCATGTTGATGAAGAGCAAGTTGTTAAGCCATTTCTTCAAATATGCAACCAAGATACTTTCTAGTGGCTGAATCCAGTAGTAAGTCACAACTAGAATAGACCCATTATATCAATAGGGATGTGGTGAGTCAACTCCTCTGTAAGTTCTATTGATTGAATGGACCTACTCTACTTCTGACTTTCTACTGAATTTCAGCCATTGCAATTTAAGACAATAAAATTAAAGTCTGATCCCTATGGAGCGAAAACAACAGTTTGCCCTTCAGATATCTGAAGAATGCAATCATATTCTTTCTTTTTACTGCTGATCCTCACTTCTTTCAACATTTCCACATAGGATGTATTTTCAACACCACTAATTACCTTTTACTAGCATCATCTGAAACCACTCTCACAAACTCCTGAAATTCTTATATACCTGAAGTGTGGTTTCTACAACTGGATTTAATATGATCTCTGACCAATGCTAAATATATGCAATATCAACTAACATGTAAATAGTTAACTGGTTAGCTGCCAGTTAAATATACCTATTAGAAAAGTTCTGCAGAAACATTCCAGCTCTGGTATTACAGTACCATGAGTGGTGCTGTTTTTTTTACATGAAATTTCAACAAAATGAATGTTTTTAACAAAATACACTTTTTATAAAATACAAACTCTGGAAAAACTTGACAAGTGAGTCCTAGGAGAGAAATTTATTTAAAATCATACTACCAGCACTAAGTCAACTTCACACAATATCTCAGTTGAGACCAATCTCTGAGCAAGGAAACTAATCTTTTATGCTATACAAGTATTCACTCAAATTTACTGTTATTTCAAATACACTCCCCCACTCACAAGTTAATACCTCCTGCTGCTACAATAGCATCTGCCCACCGAACAGTCTCTTCATCATATTCTCTGCGTTTAACAAGTCGGACCTCAATCTTCTCATTTCTGAAGATTAAAGGAGACATAAGTGCTTGTTACTTACTCTTTCATGGCTTCAACAATGTACATTTTCAGATTAAAAAGCTAGTTTGTCCTAATCAGACTAGAAAAGGAAGCAAAATTTGAATACTGAATACAGGAGTACAGGCTATTGACAAGTAATCTGATGCAAAGTATCTATGACTTAATACTAAGCTGTTGTTATAGGTTCATCAGTCGTCTCCATGTGCATACAAAAGAAGATTTAACACAATATTTTCCACCCATTGCTATTTCCTCCATTATATCTGAAATGGTAACATAGGATTATACATCAATAGCAACACTGATATTGCAACACAAATTCAAAAAAACTTCAGAAACATAGTTATGGTTGCCTAGTTGATTAACTGCTACAATGGGTGGCCACAATTAAGAGAACACCATACAGTTAGACTAGAGTAGATAAAAAGCAATGTTTTTTAAAAAATCAAATTGATTTAGATTATTGTTTACATTTAAAAATATTTTATCAAAATCATCAAAAAATCTTTTATTTCTTTTATATAATTATTTTATTTAAATCATGATTTAAATCAATTTGATTCAGATCAGTCCACACTGAATTAGACTCATTGTTTCTTTGCAAGAAGCAGCACCAACTATTCTTCTGGACTATATGATACTTCTAAATTCAGGATCTTAGGTCAGCAAGTGTATCACTCCTAACAGAAAATGAAATTACGAACTAGTTTAGACACGTAACATTGTCCTTTGAGCATTTAAAAAACATTTCCTAGATCAGAACTATAATAGTATTTTTAATACAACAGATATAAGGATAATGCAAACTTCTATAAAGCTCCTCTCTGAAATTACTTCTAAGAGATTACAATCACAATTCTTGATACATACCCTTACCTTAAACTATCTACAACATGCTCCACATTTTTTGTGTGAATGTGATGTCGCTCTAGTAGTCCAGTGTAATTAGAGCCCTTTAAAGCAAGCTGTAAAAGGCAAAAGCACAATTAGGTTGAGAAGGAAATCATTACCAAACTATGACACAAATAATTAACAAATGTAATTTTAAAAAGCTATAAATGATAAATTTAAGAATGTGAAAAATATATCAGGCATGTCTTCATTAACTTAAACAAATACTATCTGACTTTCTATCAATACACATTGTGTTATTCAAATAAAGAGTTAGTTAAAAGTTTGAAGCATTATTGTTGTAATTTAAAATTCCAGTTTATATGTAATTCTATTCAATACTATCCATGTACATTCTGGAAAACCAATAAACAGCAAATATTAGAATAACGTATCTTACATTTATCTTTGGTTACAGTTGTGGAAAGACTGAGTTCATAAGCAACTGTTGCATCTGAATAAATTTCATCTTTATCAGATGAAATGTGAATGGGCTACAAGCACCGCAATATACCCGCTTTTGTTTATTTGTTTGTTTGTTTGTTTAACTTATGTGCTGCCCACACTACCCAGAGACAAAGGTCTCTGGGCAGCTTACAACGATTTAAATGCAATAAAAAGATAAAACAATTAAAATACAATTAAAAATACAGTACTCTAAAAATTGCCATCAGGACCCACAGCTGATATTATTTCAATTAAATATCTTCTGGAACAGGAAGGTTTTGACCTGGTGCCGAAATGTTATCAACAGGAATCTCACTCGGGATGGTGTTCCATAGACTGGGAGCAGCTGCCAAAAAGGCCCTTTGCCTACAAGCCATCCCTCTTACCTTCCTGAGGGATGGATCTTTCAGGAGGGCCCCCTGGCTAGATCTTAATTGCCAGGTAGGTTTATTCCCTGCACCACATAACTTGAGAAGCTGTAGCTATTATATAATCTGCCCATTATATATAGAAACAAGAAAACTATAGTTATCATTTTATCAGAAAGCCAGTAAGCCATCAGCAATTTCCCAATTTGGAAGCAACAGTTCACACTGGCTTCCTGGCTTGTTTTCCTACTCAAAATATGTGGCTGAATCACATTAAATCAAATTGGGAGAGGCCGTGATGCACCACCTGCCTCCAGGCTGAACGCTCAGAGGTCAGGGTTTCCCATCTGTTGAGGTCCATTTCCAAGGCCTTCAGATCCTGCTTGCAGATATACTTGTATCACACCTGTGGTCTCCCTCTGGTGCAATTTCCCTGCACTAATTCTCCATATAGGAGATCTTTTGGAATCCGACTAGCAGCCATTCTCACAACATGCCCAAGCCAACGTAGACATCACTGTTTCAGTAATGCATTCATGCTAAAAATTCCAGCTTAATCTAAAACTACTCTACTCGGAACTTTATCCTGCCAGGTGATACCAAAAATGTGTTGGAGACAATGCATATCGAAAGTGTTTAGCTTCCTCTCTTGCCGTGCACAAAGGGTCCAGGACTCACTGCAGTACATGAGTGTGCTCAGGGCACAGGCTCTATAGACCTGGATTTTGGTGTATGCCATCAGCTTCTTACTGAGCCATACTCTCTTTGTGAGTCTAGAGAACATGGTAACTGTTTTGCCAATGCGTTTATCCAGCTCAACATCTAGGGAGAGAGTGTCAGAGATTGTTGAGCCAAGGTACATAAAGTCATGAACAACCTCCAATTATTGCGTGGAGATGGTAATAGAGGGAGGTGAGTCCACGCCCTGGCCCATGACTTGTGATTTCTTCAGACTAATTGTTAATCCAAAGTCTTGGCAGGCATTGCTAAAGCGATTCATGAGTTGTTGGAGGTCTTCAGCCGAGTGGGCAACAATGGCTGCATCATCGGCAAAGAGGAAGTCCCGCATGCTTCACTTGGACTTTGATCTTTGCTCTCAATCTAGAGAGATTAAAGAACTTTCCATCTGATCTAGTCCAGAGATAGACATCTTCTGTTACAGTTCCAAAGGCGTGCTTCAGCATGACAGCAAAAAAGATCCCCAACAGGGTCGGTGTGAGGACACAGCCCTGTTTCACTCCACCTCAGATGTCAAAGGGATCTGATGCTGAGCCATCAAAAACTACAGTGCCCTTCATTTCCTCATGAAAGAACCTGATGACGTTAGGGAGTCGAGGTGGACATCCAATCTTGGGAAGTATTTTTAAAAAGCCATCCCTGCTAACCAAATCAAAGGCCTTTGTGAGATCTTATGCTTATCAAATGATTATATTGTCATAACATTTAAAAGCAAGTATCTGGTAATTCAAACATTCACACCTATCTAAATGCTTAACAGCTTGTTTCTTTAAAGTGGGAAGAATGGACTCTTCCCATGCTTTTGCCAACAATTAATAATACATTATAAACCATTCATTGTGACCTACATTCAACCTTGGTCCTAATAAGTAGTTTTACACTATAAGGAAAACAACATGAATTCAGACCTATACTGCTCTCACCACTCAAGGGTTATACAACTACTACAATTTCTCTTGAAAAACTAAGAACTATCTGCCACAGTCTTATGCACTGATGAAAATGGAAAAATACATGATAGTGATGACTTCTGGCTTGCTGCTGTGACAAGACAGCACTAGAATGTATCAGTTCTAGCAGTAACTTTACTACAACCCCAGTTATCATAATGTTAGTAAACTGAACTGAGAATATGATTTAAACATGGGATGGATTGACATACAATAGAATTTGCAGAAATATTCTTCCTTACTATAAGCATTATATGGCAGACTGATTGAAATAATTGACTATCATGTATCTTTTTTAACAAAACATTAATTTTTCAATCGATCTACATTTAATCATGCTTGTTAAACACATCGTGTTACATGGGTTACTTACAATCATTTGTTCTTTGCATCTTGGTGTCTTCTCAGTAGTTTTAGCATACAATATTGACTATTTTATACATATTTTCTTTATATAATTGTTTAGCCATTTCTATCTCCACATTTTCTATATGTCTATATCATAACATAACTAATGTATATTAAGTACTACCGTATTTTTTGCTCCACAAGACGCACCTTTCCATAAGATGCACCAATTTTTTAGGAGAAGAAAACAGGAAAATATAATCTGTTTTCTTCGCTCCATAAGACGTACAGACTTTCCACCCCCGTTTTGTGGGGAAAAAGTGTGTCTTTTGGGGCGAAACACGATGTGTTTAACAAGCATGATTAAATGTAGATCGATTGAAAAATTAATGGAATGTGAATGCTCAATATATATATATATATATATGGACACAGTTCAGTACTGCAAGATACACTGTATATAGAAATCCCTCATTTGTGGCTGTGCTTGGTAGAAAACCAGTGGCACAGCTGGGAAATTATAAGCAGAAGCCTCAGACTTCTGCATGAAGGAAGGTTTAGAAAGTCTATTTCTGGTTTGTCTAGACAACCATTTCCTAAATTTGTCCAAAACAGAAAACTATAATCTAGGAACTATAATAATAAATATTCTCATACTACGGTACCTGAACTAAGCAGTTCAGTCTAACTACTTACGGTTCTTGCTTTTTTTCCTTCCTACTATTCAGAGGCAAAGAGAGGCCACTTCTGCAAAAGCAGAAGTATGGTGACACCATTGGGGGTATAGACAGGGAAGAAACATGCCATAACTTGCAGTGTGACCAAGTTCTCCTGCTCGGTAGCAGAAAATATTGAAGAGGGCCTTTGCCAAATTCAGTTACTAGAGTCCACTGCCAAACATATCTGGGGACTTCTTTGTATGCACCAAGAAATTTAAGTGGAGTTTTTCCCCGTTGTACCATACCACTTAGGGGGCTAAATGTAACTAATGATCAAAAAATAAAGAGTTACCAATGAAGCCACTATGGCCAAAATTCTATTGTGAAATATCATGCATGGATGGGGAACTGCTGGAATGTTTAACATTTTTCTCTCCATTTGTCAAACAAGCAAGTGTCCAACAAAGGCACGTCCATGTATGTGACAGACAGCTGACAAGATTGTGCATATTGCTAAAACAATTCTGGTTTAAAAGCTTTAAAAACTTGCAAACCAGAGATGGTAAAAAAGTTGGGAGCCTTAAGGAGATTTTTTTTTTAAGTAAAAAACAAAACTAAGCATGTGAAAGCAAATCAACAAACTTAGAGAAGGGAGAAACAAAACTGTCCATACACTTCTTTTTAAGGATATCCTTCTCAGTGAGAACACTTCATTGTAATTCTCTGTAGCCTCAGAATGTTGGCTAGCTAGCCTGTTCAGTTGACTGTAGGCATTTTGAAGGCTGAACAGAATTACAAATAGTTGCTAGACTAAACTGAGAGAATATAATCTGAATTGTGTCAATGTTGCATCATTATGTTAAGTTACACTCTTAAAACAAATGCTGAATATATCATGAACTTACTATTATGAATTAGTACTACAACATTTGGAAGAAATGTTGTGACTCAATTTAGTGTTAAATCTGCAAGAACACAGTGTGGAAATCTGGAAATATAATGGAACTGGGTTGAAAAATGAAATACAGAGCCATCTGCTTCTCTGAAAGTTGATCTATGAAAATCCCTCTAATGTACCAGATTATATTCAATGGGCAAAGGAAAAAAGCTACACTGCAATGAACTACATAAAACAGCCTAGAATGAAATTGAGTCATTTGACTAGTAAAATAAATTTCTGAATTAACCTTTGCATTACAGCATCCCAACAGAATTTACAATTTAAATACTACATTACATATAGTTGCTTGTAAAAAATAGGAAGTATTTTCTTTACTTTATGAATCCCAAAATATTTTGTAATTATCTTGTTACATTTAAAATTATATTACTACAGAAATCAGTAGCTGATTTTTTTAAAACGAGTAGCCTTTTGTACTTTCAAACTAAGCCCTTTTAATGCCTTAGGTGTTGTAGCTTGAAATCATGTAGGATTTTACATGCGTGGGCATGTGGACAAGCATGTGAGTGTGAGTGCAGGAGTGCACACATGTGCTCCTTTGGCCCTCAAAAATGTGGAGCATATATGATGTGGCCCTCCTGCTGAAAAGTGAGGAGACCCCTG